GTCATAACACAGTAATGTAACTGCAAAGCATATCGCACATGTGATTCTTGAACATGACATCGTTCATCTTACTAACTATTGACCGAGAAACTAAAAAAAAAAATTCATTGCCCTCATTAGTTTATGTTTTGATCTCAGCTGAATAACAAACGTAAAATGTACTGTTATTTACTGTTAAAAAACTGAACTCACTCGTTATTAATACCGGCGAATGAAACAATTAAATCGTTATTACTTAATTCAAAATTAACATATAAGGGCTCGTGTAATTGTTCTAATTTGGAAATTTCATTAAATAAAAACTACAAGTAGTATAAAACAATAAAGTGTATCTATATTATTATGACACCAATAACTCATAACAACAATTTATTAATAATAAGTACATGTTTTTAAACGAATTATCCTTGTGGAGTACACACGCCGACTATTATGCCCACACATATATGGCATTTATATCTTACGCCTATTAATTAATTAATTTGTTTATTATTATTCGTTCGCCGGATAACAACAAAATTAATCTAGGCTTACGTGCTGCGCGTATCCCCTAATTCGAGGGACTATGGTCTATTCCATTTTGCATTATTCGTGTCGAAACTCATTTCCGTTGTAGTGCAAAGAAACAATGGAGCTGATCAGAAACACGGGGAGGAGGGTGGAGAATTGAAGCGTTTATTATATAAATTTGTTAATACTGTCTGGAGAACCGTTAATAAGATTACATTAGAGCGACGATCGTGAGAACACACCCGTTGAGTACACACACTATAAATCAAACATGGTTATAAGCCACCTAGCAGAGCCTTATTACCTATATAATATGTTCCACGGTTACAGTATACTAAATATACCTTACTCGGTTAAAAAGCATATTATTGTACGAAACGCCCTCTGTCACTAATGGGCGCTAGAAAACAATACCGCCGGGCCGTCCGTATGAATTTGCGTTTCAACAATGCAATTTACCAAGTTGTATATTATTACAAAACACTATACGGGGCGAACCCTCCAGAGACAACAACTAAATTAAACCTGTATAGGGCTAACGTACTCTAATGTACTTATTAAAATATAAGTTTGCTCTTTAAAACACAATGAAGTTCATACAACGTTTTTTCCCCCGTTTAAGATTATATTTACGATTCAAAAGAACAGCGTATTTTTTGTTGGGTAGCAGATTTAATATTTTTTTTGCATAACTTACAATTAAATGCGTATTATAAGTACAAAAGCTTTTTATAATTAAAAAAATCTACAAAAGCGTGAATATGATTTATTTGTCGCAGTCCCGAATATACCTTCTCAGATTTGCATAATATCTAAATACAATATGTACGTTTTATGAGATTACATTTAGCCACCAATCCCATTAATTAAATGTATAGTATTTTATTTTTTAGCAGTGTTTGAACAATTCTAGAAAAAACATTGTTATCAGAAAAACGTATTTTTAACTATGCAGAGTAATCACTTTAACGTAAGACACTCTTTTTTTTTTTGTAAAATGTTACAATTTGGTATTTTTCTATGTGAAACAATTTTATTTATGTTATTTTACAAATATGACTCGTCAATAACCAGTTTTTAATAGTTACTTTTAAATTTATTAGAGTTTAAAATTTAGGTACATTTATATATTGTTTTTTCCCAGGGGGAGGGGTAAACTTTTTAAACTTGTAGCCCAATAAAGTATCTTCCAGGTATGATTTCTGAAATATAAATACAACATTGTAAAAACAATACCGTTTTAGCTACGCATCGAAGCTAAACAAATTGTAAACTATGACATGTTCCCCCTAGCACATTGTTTGATTGGCTATTTTTCCTATTTTCCCTCTATCACTATAATAGTACTTTAATATCCTTTATTTACTAGGCTAATAATACTTTGTGTTATAAAACTAATAAAAAAATTGTATTTAATGTATTATACTATTATCGTTAGAGCTTTGCTGAGCAATTTTTTAGGATTGGAAAAATGTTAAGCCATTCGAAAATGAAGTGTATTTTTGTAACAAACACACATTCACAATGTTTAAACACAAGTATTCTGTAACACATTCCTTGTTATATTTTCATCGCAACATTTAATTGTTTATTTATTATTTTATTTTAATTTAATTATTGTGTTTGCAGTTGTGACCGGGTTTTATAAAACTGTTCTGTAAACATAATAATTAAAAACAAAATATATTGGACTTTGTTTCTCATACAATATCTAAAAAAAACTGTCTACTTGATGGCAAGCGGAAGTACAGTTATGTATTTATACAAACGCTTCATAACTCTGCATACGCCTAAAATTCAAGATTAATTATTATATTTTTAATAATGTAAACAATCTGTACAAAAATTTAAAGTATTATCATAAAAATCACATACTATAAAAATAATTACCTCGAGCTTCTTAAAGCTCGAGGCTTACCAAAAAAAAAAATATTTTGTTTTTATTATTACCATTCATGCTGATTAATATGTAGTTAAATAAACGTATACTAAAAGTAATTCACAAACACCCTTTCAAAAACAATTAATTATGTTAGCACTGTAATCTGTTCAATGTTAATTATTTAAAAATGTTTTTGCACGATATAATTTTCGTTTTTGTAAAACACGCAAGAAAACATTTAGTTAGGAGGCATTTCAATATTGAATGAAAAATCGTTATTAACACAAATAAAAAAAAACGACATAACCTCGTCTATTGTAATTTTGTTTATAATTATTAATTAAATAACTTTAAATGTAAATAAAAAATAACACTTGCTAAATAAGAACTTCTTTATACTTTTACGCTACGTGCAAAAAAAAAAACAATAAAATAAAATAAATCAAAAAACCCGCCAATTAAAATATAATACAAACTTACAACTACACAATATTATTACAAAAGTAATTCCTATTATGACCTCATAACAGACAATTGAGCTACCATATTAGATTAACCAAAAATTACATGATGAAAAGAAAAATTCTGGGATTTTACTTTCTTTTGGATGTAAGACATAGTTGGGCTCAAGCCAATGTCCGCTATCCTTTGCTACGGCGTTGACCTTACCTTCTACCTTGAAAAATGTATGTGTACGGCCCTAGTCCCTACTAGTAAAAAACATTAATATAATGTCAACGAATCGACTAATTAGAAGTAACAATACATTCGTAAAAGATAAATAATCACTTTTAAAAAAAACGATTTGACGCAAGGGTACCGTTAGTGTTATAGAACTTTCACCGTATAAAGTACCACGAAAATGCTGAACATTAATTAAATCTTTAATTAAATTTTATAGTCAATGTAGGGACGATGACTTTTCATAAAATACAATCTGTTTCTACAATTTGCTTTTAAAATACGACTGTAAAAACAGTTTTGAGAATATAATTATGTATTTTATTTTACGGACTTAAATGAAATAATATGACAAACGTATAGTGGAATAAAATTACAAACGTAACAGATGTAATTGTTTTTATATCGTAATCGCATTTAATGAATTTCTATTCATAAAAATAATTTTAAGAAAAAAACGAACATATTATTACAATAATTTATTTAGAAATGTATTGCAAACAGTTAATTGAATTCGTGTGTTCTTGTATGTGTGGAAATAATAAATATCTTGTGTTTTATCTGCTTCGTTTAATAAATAGGTAACATTAGGTGACAAACAGAGAGAAACACTTTGTCTAAAAGCAAGAATGCGAATACTGATAACGCGTATAGCAATACGTATTACATTTTTCACTGTATTATATGAAAACGAGTTTTTAAGCTCATTTTTAAGGATAAAAAATGGCGACATTCGTGATTTATCGCACAGTTTTTTTTTTAGTAAAATTAATAATACTCTTGATTTTATATTAAATAAACGTTTTAAAAAGCTAGGTAAATTAAATACAATTAGCAGACACTTATATTATAATATTGAAGTCTAAATTATCTAATTTTTTTTTCATTTTTTAGGAAATTATAAGTCATACTATACAAAAATAAACATTCATTGAAGGGAAAGAATAATAATATTTAAATTAACGTTGTAGCGAAATCAGCCCAATCCAATAAATAAAAAAAAACAGCTTAACGTAGCATAGACCAAGCACAGTTTAGGCCAGCACAGTCCAAATCAAGTACGGTATAGATCAGTATGGAAAAAGTTAGAAAAATTGGACCAAACTAATGTTTAATTCTGAATGTGATTTTATCACAATCAAATCCAACACAAGTGAAGGAATTTACTTTTTCAACTTTTGACCCACCGAAGTACCAGCTGCATATGATTTCGGACCTAAAGAGATGCCACACGAATAAATCGGTCCACAAAAGTTCTCGTGTTTTCACACACAAAAATAACAAATCATTATAAGGCCAATACATTCTGAGCTTTCGCATCGAAGCTAAAATGTATACAAAATACGCATACCTACCGCACATAGCATTTTGACTAGTCAAACAATTTTCGACTACTCGGAAATAACAATCATTATCAAAAGCAACTGTATAGTTTTTGGCATCAGTACTTCTAGATTAGTCAGTTAAAATTTTATAAAAATAATAACTGATTAATATTAAACAAACAAATTTATTGGAGCACTATTTAACTGCACACCATCAATATCAATCTAATCATTCGGTTAATAAACATAGTACCATTTTAAAAACGTATACTAACAAGACTTAAATTGAATGGAATAAATGAAGATGCCTTATTGTTATGACCTTATTTTCTTACAATAAAAAAAGGATAAATGCTAAAATAACATCTATGTTATCGTTTCATTGTATGCAATTGATAGTCCGTTGTATAAAGAATATTAATGTCCATTCTGTTGTTGGAATTTAATTAAAAATGTAAATCCCGTAAAGAAGGTGTTCCATAAATAGTAGTTGAGTACAGTTTATAACTTAAATTAAATTTTTGAGTTTTCTGTATTTATGGCTATGGAATATTAATTTTGTTAAGATTTTTAACAACGAATTATATTGTATTGTGTAATAGGTTATAAAAATGTTAGTAATCGTCGTTGGACTGTTCGTTTTGTGTTGGCTGCCATTGCAAACGTACAATGTACTTCAGGACATTTTTCCATCAATTAATCAGTAAGTATAACAATTTCACACAAAACGACGGAGTGATTAATTCCATCGTTATATAGTAAAATGTTGTTGTTAATCACACAATAGTTATAAACAATCTACTTGACTCATTATTTGCAGGTTTCGTTACATCAACATCGTTTTTTTTTGCTGCGATTGGTTGGCGATGAGTAACAGCTGTTACAATCCCTTTATTTACGGCATTTACAACGTGAGTGATTTATTATGATTTATGACGTGTAATATTGCAATACCTAGTATACACTATGATGGTTACCAAATATTTTTAAAAAAAACTATACAGGGCGATTCATTTAGGATAAGACACTTATTTTCTCCTAAAATAATTTCAATTTTATAGTTTTTATTTTTTAAAACCGTATATTTACGTTATTTTACAATAATATTATAAAATTACTAGATATTTACATTTTAAAGTAATTTCCAGAACTATAAGAAACAATACATACATATATTTAAATTTTAAACTCTAATAACTTTAAAAGTAACTATCCAAAACTAATTAAAGACCAGTCAAAATGTTACGTAAATTATTCTTAATTAAAAATATAATTATATATATTACGTTCTCATTTAAGTTTTAAAAGTATTGATAGAGCTCTGTAAACAAATTGTAAAAAATAATAATTTAAATATTTTCTTATATTGTATAATAACAGACATAGTACTAGTTTGGAGATAGTACTTCAGTTAACTATCTCCAAAAATAAAAACTACAAAATTTCAACAACTTCGATAGATAATTAGTGTCTAATAACCGGTCCTGTATATAGTACCTAAGAATTCGCAGGTCATGGCTACATAACGCGTGCAATTATAATTATTCACACTACTATTCATAAATATTGATCAAATCTTTCTTTGTGAGTTTATTTGTAAGCTAAAAGGGGGAAAAATGTATATTGTGTTTTTTAATAAATGGAGATTTTATTATTAGTTAAAAAATAACATCATTAAAAATGTAATTTGATAATCTTATAAAACATGTATCATTTGGGAGATTTTCGGACATGGTTGCTGTATCTGTTAGTACTTAGTTTATCGAAAATATTAATAACTCAACATTACATTATACCCTTTTAAAACCTATATTGAATGCTTTCCACTATACCTGTACCTGCGTCTGTCGGATAAGTTTACTTTTTACCCCTAACTGATATTTCGTTTTAGCAGTGCGTTCGACATTATTCCGAGCTTTAAGACAACCCTTGACGCGGCGGTTACCCACATTAGCTATTAATATGGTTTCGCTGATAATGAAAGTTTCACGTTTTCAGGAAAAATTTAAACGCGAATTCCGAGTGAAGCTGCGTCATTTCCGACGGGGTGGGGTTGGGAGATCAAATACTCATCACACCAGGTCGCCGTCGGTACGGTCGACAACGTTATCAGAATGGAGAAGAGGATATTCCATACGAACGAACAGGACGAACTTAAACGGATTGACCGAAGGCAACTCGAGGCGAGACGACTTGGACATGTACGTGTACAAGTCGGGCAAGATCACATTGGTCAAATGTGGCAGCCATTCTGATCTCGAAGAGCTGTGTTTATAAATACAAAAAAACAATTGATAATTATGCAATTGATAAATGATGCTCATAGTGTAAAATATAATTTTGTTTAATAGCGATTTATAAAATAAACGTAGCGATTAATGATGAGTATATTTGTTTGTCTGTATATTGTTACACACGAGGCAAACAAATTATTTAGTAATTTTTTTTATATAACAAAATATGACCCATCAATATTTGTATGGGTAAATTATTCTGTATACTTAATACATTACATTTAACTAAGTCTTTATAATACAATTTTGTTTTACATCACATTTGACAACATTCGTAATATTTGATTAAAAAATAAAAACTAAGGTTTGTTTTGACGAGATTTATTAAGAAAGGGGGGCAGGGCAAAAGAATCACATTGTTTACAAGTATAGATTAAAACGCAAAGTTAGAGTTACTTTCTAAGATGTCTATCGATTAATTTAAATTTTTTCTTTTTTGTTATAACATTAACTTATCTCATCTAAAAGGCGGATTCTTTTTTTAAATTGTCAAAATAAAAAGGTGATCTCTTAGACTCCATAAGAAAAATAGTAAGCATTCTATAAAAACAAAATAATATCCATCTAATAGAAAAACCAAAAAATGACTTTTACGAAACTCATTTTTTTAATAAACATTCACCACAAATCAGAGAAAAATAACTTTAAAATTGTTATAACTAGAAAAACCTAAAATTAATTTGCCTTAAATTAGTTGGCATATTTAAAATGGCTTTTAAATCAATTTATATCAAATATTGTTTATCTATTGACATTTTAATAAATAGCCCTTTTGGCCTTTTCCGTTCCACTTAAAATACTATAATTCAAATGTCTTCTGTAAAAATGAAAAATAATTACTAATTAGTAATATTGCTTATAATTTTCTGTATATAAAACATTTTGTTCTGTTAGACTCATGTATGTATTGTGTTGTAATTTAATGTTACTTAGCATTTTACTGATTGGGTAAATTGGTTACACAAATATATGTTTTTTCATAAAAACTTTATTTTATTTTTTACGCTTAACAAATATTTTTCTACGTACCCAAAATAAAATTAATTAATTGTACTTGTGCTATTTAATGAGTTTAATTAAAAACTTACAATATGCTAACGGTTGTATTTTTAACTGCACATACTACATAGGACCAAGTGAATTTGTCTATTATTTGTTACATTTAATTCAGTCGGAACCCAAGTGGCATTAAACAACGGTAAGATAATAACATTTTTGTGATAATTTTGAATACAATAATTATGGTTGACTCATGTTCGACACTCAATAAAAAGGGTTGTATCTGGTTCTACAATCTTTATTTTAAGGGGTTTTATAGACTATGGAATATAAATGTGGATATGGTTTTTGAAAGCTATTTGCACTCGACTCGGCGACGGCCCTATAATATTATTATGATCAAGTTGTTTATAGACCACATTGCCACAAATCACGCAATCGCTGCATAGTAGGTGTGTTAACTATTGAAATTTTGGAATCGGAAAAATAATTGATCACTATCTCACTCTATGACGTCAGTCAGTTCAACAAAAATTATAATGTTATAGTGGTAGGTACCTACGTATAATAGTAGCAAACTAAACTATAAGCAATTGGACGGAAACCCAAACGGAGCCAGTTTTTTTTTTTATGAATAATTTAAGTTTTTAATTTACTTATAGGCAGAAGCCTACGATTCACGTTAACAGTATACAAAAATAAACAGTACACGTCACATAAATGAAATTATTAAGTTAAAGTTGAAATATTTTCTATGTGGTTTTTTGTTGTAAATAAATATTTCAAAATTAAACACTGTAATTATACATTTTTTTTGTTAGTTGTTTTATTTTTCTAAACTTAAAAGAGTAATGTACCGTGTAAATCATGTATAGTAAAACAAGCAAGTATAAAACATGCAACAGTAAAGTTATACAAGATATTCGTATAATATATACATTATATTACACCCTTGACTCTACATAATATATTACTTTGACGCATGGTCTCGGCACTTATTCTCGCTCCGTTTTAAACGTTAGTGTTGTAAACTTAACAACATTCGTGTCGAGTAACCGCTGTACAGACTACAGGTTTAACACTGCTTAATTTTATGAAAAATATTGAGTATGACTTTTAAGCAGGAGTTCGGATAAAGATCCAACCAAAATTCATATTTTTCTCCTAAGCAAAAAAAAAATTCTTAAACTAAATATGCTTTCCAGAATCGAACATCCATTTTACACATTTAAAATAAAAGTTTGAAACGGGTTTATTTTTTTACCGAGTTATATTATCTCCGGACAAATTAAATATATATTTGTGTAAATATTTAGAGAAAAATAGAAATTTTTCAGGAACTCTTCTGGACTCTCACTTAAAAGTACCAAGTTTTTAAAATTAGCTGTCTGGACGTTTTTCCTTCGTCAATATTTTCTTGTTAATTATTTAATATACTCGGAACTACTAATTACCTTCTTAGCTTTAGTTTAAACATGTAGGTACTGTATCCATACGTATATCATATATGAGAATATCCACGAGAGTTCATACTCATTGCAAATTCCTTAAGATACTTGCACTCCCTCCTGTACTTGAGAGGCATAGATTAAACTATGTATTAGTATAACAATAATCAGTTAATAGGTAACGTAAAAGCGTTCAAAGTAGAATTGTGTACTTTATGTTTACAGTTTAATTAGCGCCATTGCAATGGTGGAAAATCTTGTAGTGAACACGGACTTCCGTCAAAGGTTAAACGCACTTAGGATAGATTATACTAACGATTTTAACAGTTAACCCGTTCGTCAAGTCGCCCAAAATGGACTAGTTTTAGTTTTTAAACATGATTAAAATCGGACTTTAAATAACGCGATTTTTCAAAATAAGGTACTTATTTTACGCCTTGTTCGAAATACTATTTGTCTTTTATTGTATATCATATGTATAATATAATTGTTAAGTAGTATAAAGTGCATACGTTTACTGATGTCAATTTATTTGTTTTTATTAAGTACCTTAGGTACAATATACATGCATTCGATTTCACGCCAATAAACTCTTATAATAATTTACCAAAATCAAAAGAAATATGTATCAATCCAAATTCATAACTATTATATGTTAATGATATTATGATAAAAATATGTTCAATTTAATTAATTGAAATTAAATCGTATAGTTTCCAAGGATTACATTAGGGATGATGCAAGAAGGCCGAGCTCCTCCAGAAATAAAACCATTCTGAACCTAACCACAGTGGCCTATACATGAAATAGTTCTGGACACGCCACTGATAATAGCATATGCTGACACAGAGGAATACACAAAAAGGTTTGCTAATTTTCTAGAAATTCAGCCAGAGCTCATTATGTCATAAAATAGTTTCCCGCAACTTAATTTTAAAAACCTTACCTATACCTACCAAAAAATGACGTATTGCTGATTACGTATGTAATTAAAAAATGTATGAACTGAATGATAATCAGGTACCTATCTAAAAAACGGAGACAAATTATGTCCTTATTGCCAATATCTTACAGGAATGTTATATTGGATTAACATAACGTGACTGATATTGATTGAACATACAAAACAATTGAATTGTAGAACTGTTACATCTTCTAAAATGCGGTCGTTAAAAAGTGTAAATCTACATAAGTTAATAACAGCGGTAGAAAAATAATTTGGTCATAAACGTATCCATATTAACTTATAGTTGTTTAATAATACTATAATTAAAAATTACTTACTACTAAAACCTACTCCTAAAGCAATTTAAAAGATAAGGATTTGTTATAGTATGTACTTAAGTGTCTTTAGTTTAAAGAATCATAGCGATAATACATATTATAGCTTATAGCTAGCACCAAAACCATGTTATTTACATTAATTCTTGTTTATTTGACTGTTATTAATTGAACATCTTGCATTTAATAAGGGCTATATACTTTTTCAGAATTATTTAAAAAATCCATTTAGCCATTATATTTACACAAATTAAAAAAATAAACAGTACATTAGGGTAGGGGCTAGTGGGGATGGTAAATATTGCTGTCGGGGTGGTCACAGGTCTACATAAATGATAATGATGTATTATGTGTATTTAACTATATTAGTGTGTCTGGTCTGTACACATATAATATTATTCTTAGGGCATAGAACTATATTGTTCACAAATAGAGATGGGTCTTTCAAAATCTAGATTTACAAAAAAAAAACAATAGATGCTACTAATTTTAAATCTTGAAAAACTCATTATTAATAAAAAAATGTTTAATTAGAAATATAGTACAAACAACATTTTTGTTCAAAACCAATACTTAATTAAAACAAAATAACGCTGATGAAATTAAAACAAATGTATTATAGATTTTCTTATTTATTTTTAACTTTTTCCCAAAATATTTTTAGATACACACCTGTAAATTATAAGTAAAATTTAAATTAATAGGACTTTTATAAAGCTAGAATATAGGTTTTTAAAAAACCGTTGTGGCCCTACCTGCAGTCAGTTAAAATAAACCACCATGTTATGACATGATATTATAAACATTTGTTTATTAATATTGCATTTTTTAAGACTTAAAAATAGTAGTAGAATCTATTGTTTTTTGTAAATTTTTAATATGATTAATATGATTTAATATTATTTTCTGTTAAAGATATTTAAAAACTTGTAAAAACTTACGACATAAAAATTATTTAAATAAATTAGAATAATATGATGGTTATGTGATAACTGATACGTTACTCGGTGCAGCTATTACTATAATAATAATTAATTAACTGTACTTTTAAATTAATGTTCTTAATTTACATAGATTAGTAAATTATTTTAGACAGGTTAACTATTAATATAATCGTTTTCTTGTTTTCTAAAGTAACTATATTAAAATGGGCATAACAAAACTACATTAATGTTTAAAATTAAACATAAAGAACTTTGGCGATTGATCCCATTTTTTCTGCTGTATAAAAAATGAATTGACACCTGAAAATAAAAACCAATACAATATTTACTATACAACTAGTTTTATTAAATATAAACAAAAACTATAAATCCAAAAATATATTACCCAAAATATTATAGCATACTTTGTTCTAAATTGTGCTATTTGCTAAATTAAAGTCGTAAAACCACCTTCTTGATTACATTATGTTTTTCTTCAACAATAATAAAATATTGGAAGTGTTGTAATATTGTATGACTGTGGTAGTAGGTACCTATAAAAATAATGTGGACAGTAGATCACATTTTAATATTTTGGTTTCTTATACTTAAAACTTATTACAATAGCCAAAAACAGTCTAAAATAGTATGACTATTATGACTAGAGTTGCATAAATAAATGTATTAATTAAGTAGTCAAAACAAAATCTAATAATGCAATAAAAGGATTAATTTATCTTATATTAAAAATTCAACATAGTGTGGTCGGGGCAAAGTGGGGACTTGCAATGATGGAACTCACAGGCTTTCATAAATGATAATCGCTTAAAGTGATAAAATCACTTTAAAACAAATGCTTTGATGCGAATGATAAAACATACATATAGGCCAGGTTTATTATTATTTATTACAATAAACAATGGCTTAATTATTTATATTCTAATTAAATTAAATGTTTGTAAAATATTCCAGTTGAATTTAATTGTTTTATTTCAAATAAATAATTGTACACAGACTTCTATTATATTGTTTTGAAGTACTAAAACCATTTTTAAAAAATTAATATTCAAAATTTTACTGTTTATTAAAAATAAAATCATGGTGTACATTGTTGTAGTTAAAGGTCCTGCTTTTAGTGTAGCACTCACATCCACAATTATGGTTTTTAGTATTTAAATAGACACAATTAGAGTTGATTATTATCGTTAAAAAAGGCAAATCAACAACATAACGAGATTATTTTCCAGATACATTTTTACTTAGTTCATTCACACTTTGCAGCCTAAAAATTTATAAAACCTAAAATGTTATAGCGCACTATGATTTAAAGTATAAAAAAGTATACATTTTAAAGAGGTGAACTTTTTTAATTTTTGCCCCAATAAAATACATTTAAGATATCAATTTTGACTAATAAATATGCTACATGAGGAAATTGGTTCAAATATAAATATATAAAAATAATTTAATACAAATGATACTAAATTAATAAATCATAATAATATTTTAGTTTATTTTATAACGTTTAGCTCTAAAATAATTTTATATTTAAGAAAACTAAGGGAACGGTAATAAATTTGAAAATTTTTAAATCAAAGTATAATTATTTCTCAAAAAGTTTTCCTAAGTTTAGAAAAGAAACTTAACACAATATTGTGATTTTAAAATATATTTTTTGCAGGCTATAATTTCATTGTATTATATAGGTAAGTTAATATAAAACCTGTTATGTTGGTAGAATCTTATGAACAAATTGTTTATCACTGAATTTTACTTTTCCGTTTCTAAAATGTGGTTCTTCAATATTTTGCCATCGATCAAATGAGAAATCTGGGAATAAAATACTAATTTCTCGACGAGCTGATTCTTCGGAATCTACAATTACAAACATAATGGTTATATATATTTAATGATACTAATTTACACTGTATGGTTAATAACTAATGTTACCCGATCCATGAGTTGCATTCCGTGTATCAGTAAGACCGTGAACTGCTCGAATAGAATCGGGATTGCTTATTTGGCTTTGAAAAACTTTGGTTGGACCCATTAAATGTCTCCAAAATTTAATAGAATCTTCTCTAGCTAAAATATATGACTCCGATGGTCCACTACAAATAAAATAATAATAGTAAATACAAAAAGTTCTCGGTGAGAAGTGAATACTATCCATTAAGTTCTTATTGTGTTAAATATTACCTACCTAGTCATAAATGAAAGGAGGCGATTATAAAAAAATTTCGACTTATGTTCATTATAAAACTGCTCCGCTTGTTTGTGTGAAATGGTTTGACGTAGCGATCGTACAATATAAAACCCATTATCAAGAACTATCCGTCTAATATCCTGCAATCAAAAATTTTAAATTTAATTAAAATTGTATAAGTACTCATATTTGATTATAGGTATAACATATATTTAATGTTTTATAATATATATATAAAATCTGTAGTGATTGGATAGTAATACAATATAAATATTAGGTAATCTCATAATGCAACCTAAAATTTTACATCTACAACAAACTAAATAAAAAATTCAGTCAGTGGACATCTTGTCCCTACCAAAACTACTCGTTCTATTTTAAGTTTTAGCATATTTGTCCCACATACGCATGTTAGATATTACATGTCTTTTATATCCGTTATGTACATTTCTATCATATTAATTGAGGCTATGTCAGATAAGAATTAGAGCTAGATGCCAAACTTACACTGTGCAAGCAATCAATATTCATATGAAAAACACAACTGTCGTCTCATTCTTTCTCAGTCGCACAATTTTCAAATTTTTATTATAATAGTATAGAAGATTTAGAATAATATTAAGTATACAAACAGCAGATGGCTGAAGTACTCACGTGTAATGAAAACGGATATGATACAACATGAGGCTTTAAGATGGCCAATGTCAATTGTAAGCGTTTAATAGATGTCATAGCAGTAAAATATACTTCCATTATAATGCCAATATAAAATAAAATAAAAACATGATTAAATATTCTAATTAATTAAATATAAACATTAAATTACAAAATATTATAATTTGAAAAAAAAATGTTTAATGAGCACATTGTTATACACTACAACTACAATCAAGTAAACAACATTATGGTAAATTTTTATCATAAATATTACTGATTACAGTCTGGATAATTGATTTTTATCAACACAATCCGCCGCCGCGCCACCTTCTCTTATGACAATAATCGGTGATAACAGAAACCATTTTAATTTTTATCAAATTAAAACTATAACTATGTTACCTACGGTCTACGAATATATTATGTTATATAACGTAGGATTAAGGATACTAGTTTTTACCTATAATAATACTACAATAATAATGTGTCTTATGTACAATATGCATCGACCTTTAAAGAAATGGACTGATACTAGAGAGAGATCCGAGGGTCGATATCGTTAAAAGAGATAGAGAGATTTGTTAGGTATCCCATGGAAAAAAAATAATATCATGGGAAAGTAGAAATACCTGATAACGAAAGTTTTATGTTAAAAAATTTTAATTGATTTTAATTTAAACTTGAATTTGAACTTTTCATAATAGTGTAATAAATAATAACGCATAATTCATTCTTGCAAAATAAAAAAATACAAATATATATAGGGTATAACACCCTGGTTATGCGACTTTGGAAAAGCCTTACATCTATTAACCGCTAGAGCTTATAACAGGAGTACAATTATTATAATATTTTAATGTCTTATTATTTCAGTTAATTCTAACCCTAATTATCCATAATTAAGGCTATTATTATACACTGTGAATTTTTTTATAATTAATACATACCTATTAGGTAAGCTTGAAAGAGGAACTGAAAAGGTATTAATTTTACAATATCTAGTCAGTTTTTTTTTAAATTTAGATGCAGATCTGTGAGGGATTTTCACTCTCTGACATACCTAATAATTACTTATTAACATTATATTTAAGCACGATGTCAAATTCTTTTCAAATTTAGTATTTAAATATTTTTGAGTTTGTTATTTAAGTTATACTCGTACTTACTCAAATCAGTTTTTCTTATTGAAATTTATAAAAAAAAACTAAAAGTAAAACAATAGTTCTCTTGAGTTTTTTTAAAAAATAGCTGTTTTTAAAAACATACTTACACGTTTTATAAAAATTATGACAGAATGTTCATTGATAAAATTTTAATGAAATTATAATTTTTTTTAAAGTATAAAGTACCGATATATTATACCTATTTATTTAAAACAGTAGGTACACCGTGAATACAATGTACGAAATTATTCTATACCCAGCAATAAAATTAAATACTTTACAACTTCGAATAACACAATAATAAAAAATAATTAAATATTATTTGATTATTATATACTTCCATATGTGTCTATTATTTGTCATAAATAATATATAACTTTATTAATCCATGTCTTTTCAATTTTTATTCTTTCTATATTATTTTTATAACGATATTGACCCCGCGGCAGCATAGGCAGGGTGTGTGGGAGGCACAGTCCATTTCTTTATAGGTCTATGACAATAGGTCCTACATATTTCAAATTATTATGAAGTAAGTATATTTCAATTTGTACCTACTTGATGAACTCGTGTTGGTATAGTTAAAATTACATATGTTTTACAATACAAAGTACATATACACAATGTTTATTATACCGTTATTTTATCTATAAAACACTTGAATAAATACTGTAAATTACTAATTAGAAAACTTGACCTTAACCATTTCCGAATAGGCTGCAGGTAATGTGAATTTTACCTATCTAATACTTAATACCAATAAAAGATGACGCTTAAAATTTTACGTTTAATATTTTACGTCATATTTTTTACATTGCATACTACCCACTTATAGCTCACATTTTTCAAAGACAAATATTTTTTGGTTATAGTTACGCCTCGACTACTAGGTCATAGGCTAACAAATATTTTTATTCATAAGTACTTATCTTTATTGATAGCAAACAACCCTTCTTTAAGATTAGTACGCTGGAAGTAATCTTACAGTTGGCAACTCTACAATAAAAAAAAAATATAGTTGATATTTAGTTCATTTATAAGCATTATTACGAATTAACTAACTTGTTCGTATGGAATGCGTGTAGAAAAATTAATTTTAGATTTAACGTGGCATTATATAATAAATATATAACATATAACAGGTATTATTATATAAATGTGAAGTGAGAATAATACTCCAATTCAAAATCGCGTTTATTGTTGTGATAGCATACAATTTATTGTCAAAGTTCTTTAACTTTTTTGATTTATTTAATAGTTGATTAGATTAGAACTAGAAGACCGCTTAAATGATTTCGTTTAAAGCAACGAAAGTAATTTTGAACCGATGCCGTCAATCTATTTTGTTATTCTATTTTATTTATTTTATTTTTATAAGATAGTACCTACGACAAGGTGAAAGAAAAGTGTTCGACTTGTTACTGCCTACTACGAAAGTCGTCTTGGAACGTGGTTTCAATTTTTCCATACTATTCAAATTAGTATAAATTGCATTCAATATGACATTTAAATTTAGATTTTTATGGAATTTTTTATTAGTTCATTGACTCTTGTCTCTGAAAACTATTAAAACAATTTAATATTTAATAATATATTTTTTAAGTTTACAGAAGTTTATTTTTATTTGCTAAATTAGAAGTTGTAATACTAAACAGTTTTTGTTTAATAAATCACTTTTCGAGACCGATGAAAGTGAATTTCCTACCATATAGGTCTTAAAGAGTCAATGTCAGTTTTTAGTCAAAAATGGTTCAACCTTTAAACATGTAAATTGAAACATCATTAATACTGTGTAATAAAGTGAGACTTCCACTACAACCATTGAAACACTTATGAACATTAAACAAAATAATACAGAGCTTTGTCGATATTAAAATCATTGAATCCATTATTTGATATAAAATGCGGAAATCGAAATTCTTTATCTTTTGTCGGCATTTTCCAAAATTAGGTTAGTGCTATTCTTGATTGAATTTTGAACAATCCGAGACCTGGTACATTTATGTTTAATAATTAGTACATCTTGTTCGTTTCCTAATGCATATTTTTTTAGACCGCTAAAACGCGTATAATTATTTAGGACAACCTGATGCTACAATTGTTGTACATCACCTGTAAAATATTAGTCATTTAATAGCATATGATATATATATATATATATAAGACATGGCTATTGTTCCACATGCATTATTTGATTGCTATCATATTTTATTGAAAAAGTTCAAGGTTGTATATCATACATTTTTTAGTTTACCTAGTCTATATAATATATAAAGTAATACAAAGTTATAATATCCCTCAACTTTTCAGTTTTCTACCCTAATAGATAACGTCTGCGTTTTTACAAAAAGTCTTTAATAAAATATCTACTAAGCACCAATACCTACGTACTGCTCTTACAAATACATACCACACAATAGTTACAATTTCGATGTTTTTATTCAAAGAAGTGCAGTGACCTCCCTTAAACTATTTTTTCCAAACAAAATGTTGTACAATAATAATTCTGATGTTCTGTTTAGGAATGTGTTGTATATTTTTATGTCTACCATCTGTAAACGTTGTTTAATGGGTTTGTTTGTGGTTGAATGAATATTTGTATATTATTGCCGGATTCACGTTGCCTAAATAACTGGCAAAAGGCAAGACTATTGTAAATATTTACAATAAACAGCACATGCTGTTTCGGAGTAGCCTTATCTGTTCCTGTGTGGTTGTAATATTGAATACTATGTGTGAGTTTTGGAATTTCAAGGTAGTTTCCTACTTCCTAGAAACTTTTATCAAGGATTTCCGTTACGCAATCATTTTTGTTTTAGTATTTTTTTGGACATTCGTAGATACATACGAACTATTTTTGTTAGAATTGGTAATTACTAATTATGCGCCTATTGTTTTTCGTTAACCTATATTTTGTTTTGAAGATATTGTCTCTCAATTGTTTTTACAGTAATCGTAACTTCTAACGTGTGAGGACTCAGGACTACAATCACTATATACATAATGTGTTATCAACTTTGAATTTAACAACTGCTAATTTCTTTCTAATTCAGAATAATACATATTCAGGTATACGGTATTCTAATTTCTATAGATAATGATTAACATTGTATTTCGGTATTTCAAAACCTTTACACCACATAGCTACACAAATAAATCATACGATAATAACTTAAACTTCGTAAAGAATAAATTTAAAAGTAATGAGTGTACCGTATATGTGTTCTTTTTGGAAATTCTTTCTACATTTTTTTTCTTTGATTATTTGATCAAAGAATAATAACAATAAAATACTTTAATTTTCTTTTTGTTCAAAAATTAAATTTCAAAGATTTTTGAATGTAAAACCGTGTTTATTACGTTAATAGTCAACATCAAAAATACCAAATATATGACTGGGAAGTTTGTGGACTCTTTTCGGGGCAACGTATCGCTTCACCTCTGCTTAGTGACAAAAGACTTCTACAAAAATTATTCGTTAGAATTACAAAAATTAAAAGAAATTTGTCTATACAGCAATTTGTAATTGTGTACTGTATAGAAAGAACATATAATAAATATTTTATTAAATTATTATTATTATGAAAGTATATTATACTATTTGTAAACTACAATTTATAACCAATACTGTAATAATAAATAACTGTATTATTTTACTTATAGTTTTCTAACTTTTGTCTGCAAAACATGCGAGCCACTTTGGCACTTTATCGGACAGTTCACCTTTAAGATTGTGTCTCTTATATTTTTGTTAAATATTGTAAATATCTAATATATAATAGAAACTTCTACTGTAAATACCCAGATTGTATTGTATAAACCAGCCAAATAATTAAAAATACTAACCATTGTTTCTACATAATTATTCGCGTGATCGTGCAACGCACGTGAAAATAGTGATAGCAAATGCTCTATAAAAATAGTACTTTTGGCAAATTATCAAACCGGACTGTTGAGGTAAATAGTATACAAGTTGTAATGTTCTGTAAGTAAACTTAGCTAGAGTTAATCTAAAATGTATGAGAGTTAGACATTAATTAAAAAGAGTTGAAACTTTGAAGTGTAATATGATATTTTACGCTTTATTTTTGTGTTTTGAATTAAATATAATCAAAACCAACAAAATATTTACCTATAATCACTAAATCATGATCACTAGATAATATGACCCAGAAAGAAACAACGTCTGTTTACAGGTATTTCAAATAAATTACAAAGAAAATTGTTAAATAATTATACCTAGTTTATTCTAAACACAATGTGAACAAAAAAATTATGCCAAATCGAAGTTTAAACTTGTAATGTTTATTGTCTAACTCTACCCAGGCACGGCGCCAGAATTTTTTTCCTATGGGGGCGGTATAGGTCAAGTAAATTTTTTGAAGGGGCAACCACAATAATTTTACCTACTTCTGTCAATAAAAAACAATTATAATGATTTATCAGTGAATGACTTATTTATCAGTGAAATAGTATAAAATATGAATTTATTACAGATTAAGGGACAATATATACTAGTGTACAATTTAAGTAAGGCAACTTTTTTAAAAAAGCGTTATTTTTACCTGTCGGCCATCATATAGCTCTCTTTGTACTCTATGAAAGTCGAAGTAAAAATGAAGGCTTATAAAACGCCCAGCAACCAGTCAGTGGAAATTATAGTTATCGTGTTATACCTACATTCTATTAAACCAAAACAATCCGTCAATAAACACTGAATTTTTGGAAAACACACACACAAACGTAAATATTATAATTATATATATATATATATATATATATATATATGTATATATATATACACCAAAACACATAATTATATGGGCGATGGATTATTGATAACCGATTGCAAAAACACTCAAAATATATTGATAAAAAAAGGCCACATTTGGTGACAATGTCATAACTAATAACTAAATTTGTATATATAAAAATACAGAAAGTTATTCAAAATCTGGGTTTTAGGAATAATAATCAAATATTTAAAATTATGCTATTTAGTAAAATATCTAGGGGGGGGGCGAGAGAAGGGCAAGAATTTGTTATGAGGGGGCGACCGCCCCCCCCCTCCCCTTGGCGCCGTCCCTGACTCTACGCCCGAAAGTATACTACTTTTATTTAGTTATTCCAACTATAAATTTATTGTGTCCCATATTAACCATAGTTATAGTTGGTCCAACTAAGAATTTTGTTTTCGTGTATTCAGCACAACCATCTCAATCCTAACAAACCTTATTTTTTAGTTTAGATCAAGCAATTATCTAATTTTAACTACACTTAGGTCTTGATCTATTAATGTTTTTACTGTACTTGACTTATCCTGCAATTATGTATATTATGCTAAACTTTTTTCTTTTAAATTCGGGAATTAGGAAAATTACACATTACGGTATGGTACAGGAATAGATCTTTTCTGAAATAAACAGTACTCAGTAGGTATATCGTCAATTATTGAGAAAAATAATTGTATTTATTCGAAACATACATTATGACATGACATTAGAAAATATTATTTGCATAATCTGTGCGGTGACCGGTGATGACTATTTTCATCCACACAAGTTTGAAGACATGCAGAACGAGCAGGGCTTCTCAATAACGCCTGTCTTACACACTCTACTTTTTTCGAAGCCCTTACAGTTCTTCTTGGCTCTGGTGGTATCTTTTTCATTACTCGTCCGAAATTAATTTACCCATCGCCTGAAGGACTTAGAAATGAGCACGGACTGTAATGATCAATATTAAAATGTAGTCGAAATTGCCGCAGCGACTCACCAGTTTGTGCCGTAAGCATAAACGCGGTTATCCAAAGTCCACAAAGACTACTACAAAGGACACTTATTAAAAAATGGAATGTCGCGGAGAATAAAATAACGTCCCTACTAACTTTCTACTAACCTACAAAACAGCATATAAAAAAAAAAAGGTTTAGTCCCGAGCCGCGCCCTGTATAATATCTTTAACATGATAATATTTATGTACAACTATTCTATTATTATTTTTACTACTATTATTATTATTTTAAGTTCAATTATTTAGATGTAAGGTACATGCAGTGTATACTATATACCAATCCGGGAAGATTATTAACGCTTAACATAAGTAACGGTAAGTATGACTTATTATTTATTATTCACCATAATATTATACTGACGAAATAGAAAATAAAATTTACAAAACATTGATCAATAAACTACTTAAATGTGTGAGCTGTTTACAACTTACTTTACTGACAATAACTGATAAGAAACCGAGGACACCAAAATTGTTTTTCCAGAAGATAAGAAAATGCGCAGTAAGAAAAAAAGGTATTGTCTTGTCACAGTATTTAAAGATTTACATATTTTTTTGTAGACGAGCAATGACAGCGGTTGGTCTGTTTCAAATTTTGAAAAAGGAGTACTAACTATAAGAAAAAATATTTTAACTAATCAGATTTATCTACTAAAAATGAAAAAATAACAGTATAAACAAACTAGCATAACATATAACATCTGTACGTAAAAAAATGAAGGGAAAACCTACTCATAAAAAATACCACGAGAACGTAACTACAATCGAAAATTTGAGTGTTAAGTAAACTTGAAATAGTATCATAAAATTATTTATTGTTTGTATGCGGACAAATAAAAAAAAAACCTCTCTTTTTAAGTTTTAAACAAGAATTAAGAAAGTGAAAAAAAATTAAATTCTTAAAATGATCAACAACAACGCTAAAGACTTAATTCATAATACTAAAATTGTCGATAACAGATTTTCACAAAAAATACATACTTATGGTTATCCTAAAATTCGAAAATTTTTCATTCATAGGAGTCATAGGTGTGTGTCTTACATATATTTTTACTTGATGAGTTTCTAAAAAGGCAAAGAGATGTCTAATGACAACATTTCTACATGAAAATCATTTTTAATCACATAATATGTAAGTGAAATTGTTTAAAGCATATTAAAAAAAACAAATAATTTTAATATTTTTTTACGTTTTTGTACAAAATTTACAAATAAATCAATTTCTCGATCTTACTGATAATATTAATTTTAAATCGAGCCCGTTAATTAAATAGTAAATTGCATTTGTATGAGTACCGTTAGTCGTTACCTCGTAATGATAATGGCCTTATTTTAATGCACTGTATAATTTATTGTAATACACAGATTGCAGTAGGTATAAAGTGTATTAATTATGATTGTAGGCATAGTTATTTCTTTGGTTACTGATGCGCGAGTACATATTTTTAAGAGATATTATTATTTACTGTGTTACTATTTTGCTATAACGCACATTTAGAAATCATATATACTTTCATCCTATCCTATTTATACATTATAATTTATACCTAATATATAAATTATTATAATTACCATATTCTTCGTTTTACTGTATTTTTCAAACTAAGCTGTTATTGTGATATTGTCGAACGATGCGCATAAAGGTATTATTAAATGTTTAACAACGCAAGTTAATTTATTTAATAGTAGTTGTTAAATACCATTTTCCTTAAATAATATACGTGACATTTTTACTATTTACAGTTTGACATGTGTTTTCAGCTTTCATAACTCACAATGTATCATAATGTTTATTTAATTGTTTTAATTAATTTATAAAACAATAAATTACCTATCTATCTTATTAAACCACAGATGTCAAAGTATAATATTATTCTTAACAAATAGTGCGAAATATTTCTTCGCCTATAATCAGTTTATTACTTTTTTTTGTATAATCTTTGCTATATACTTGAAAAAATTAAAAACATGTTATGCTATGTATGAGTTGTTTTGTAGTTTATATATTATATGGTTAAACTTAATAATACATATATATTTTTGAACAAATATAATTTTAAACTTATAATATTAGTTAGTATGTTGCGTAGGTAACACTAAACACGGGTGAAAAAATCAAAATTTATTTATTTAACTCATAAACCATGATATACCATGAAGAGAACCGAGAACAAAATAAATTGTGACATTTACGAGTATATGCATTTTATAGCAGTTTTATTCCTATTTATTTTAAAATGCTGGATTAGATAATAAAGTAAGCAAGAAATTCGGTCTATATGTCAAGGAATTAAAATACAAAATTGTACATAGCATAATTTCGCAAGTTCAAATTTTAATGTCATTTACTATTTTTTTTGCATTTTGGCAAATTTGGATATTTTCTACTAGTTCTGTTGTACTTATTTGTATACATTTTAATTTGTCGAAACCAGCAAAAACGAATATCAGAAACAAAACACTAAACATGTTTATATTTTTTTGTATAATCTAACAAAATTTCACAATACGAGTACTTAAGGTGTTATTTATTATTAATTAGTTTGTTTACTTAATAGAAAAGTTCTTTAAGTTGGGATTATTAATTAATTTTTTTTTTTTAATACACAGATGTACTACCTTTTTTGCTCCACACTAAATTCTAAACTAAAATGCACCAAATATTATAATTTTTTTTTGCTAATTTTAGTAGTTACAGAGCATAATATTATAGTACGTTTGTGAATATGATTATTATTTCCAAAACCTGCATATATATGGCAACTACTAGGTGTTAAGGTAATAAACTAGAACAAAAACATACATTTAAACTGTTACACCGTTAAAATTCCTATAGCGTTGGAAAAAGGTTAGTATAAAAGATGTATAATTTTGTTTTGTTTTCATTTTTTTTAAATCTGATTAGATATTATATATTTTAATTGTAAATGTAAAATTGTGTATATATAATTACTAATTCGGATTACTTATACCGATAATTGTAGTGAGTTTTGTGGTGACTAATTATCATTGTAACGCCCCCGTCGGTAAAATTACAATTAACTTTAAACTATTATTTAATTAGCATAATGCGTGTAGGTGTGTGTGTGTATCTAAGCAGTTTTTTTTATCAATATATCACTACACACAGGAAAATAAATTTACTAATGAAGCATGTGCAGTGGGTACCTATATAAACATCAAGCATCGTTTACACCAAGCATAATATAATTTTATTCGAATGTTGTGTTCGCCGGTGTTTGGTGGGTAGGGGGAACTTGGAACGTCCGAGCGTTGCCTGTTGGTGTTTTTTGTAAGAAACTGAAAATAAGAGCGTTTGTGGTGCCGTGTAGTTGCATAACGCGCCTCAGAGCCGTGGTCAGGGTGACTTGGATATGACTCGTTCCTCATCAATCCGCCAGCTACGGCAGCTGTCGGTCCTATCTACGCAGTCCACGCGCAGCTCTGTGACCGCCGTGCTCGCCACCTCGTGTCTACTGCTCTCGCAAATAACGTCCGCCGAAGGTTTCAGCCTTTCTTGGTAGGTACACTTAGTTAAAAATGTAATTTAAAGGTAAAAAACTTTTAAAAATATCGCATTAGATCAACCGTAATATAGTGAAATTATATTGAAAAAAACAAAGTAAATCCTTCCGTTTGTCTTTTTGTTTTAACGACTATAATAATATAATAGTTTTGTATTTTTGCAAACACTTATTTATTTATACACTATAAGAACAATTGTCTTTAATACGTCATGACTCAAAACGTCCAATTCGTAAAAAGCTAAAAAAAAAAAATCAATAATTTAATTTAATTTAATTTTCCGTCGAACACTATCTGCGTACAAAATTGTACAAAAAACATACTTTAAATAATTTCGTTTTATATCATTTGATATTTTCATTGAAATTCGAAATAGTTTAAGTTTATATGCACTAAAAAACATTCACTTCTTTTACAGTAAAAAATAGAAACTTATATACATCAATGTACGTATTTTTTGTGAAGCAATGTAAAACTGTTGATTTTTACTGCGTATATATTTAATCTAAAATTAAATATATTTTTAAACACTTCTTTAATGCTTGCTCACTTAGGTAAGTAAGGACTCAACGCGTAGCTATTTATTAAGGGACTAATTATTGACTAAAATATTTTTAATAAATTTCGACCATGTCCGCTTCTTTCCAAGTTAGTTTGTTAACTCTTTACAAATTCATTTTCTTAATACCTATAGTGGCTATATTTAAATAGGTATAACTTTAAAAGTATGTAATGTGTTATATAAGTTATAGCAATTTTTGTGGAATAACTACAAATCTGTGGTAGTAATCGGTTCCTTTTTTTAAAAAAAGGAGAGTATATAATTTTTATAGTTAAGAGTTTTTATTATTATTTTATTACGTATAACCATAAGTGCTTAAGTTTTTTCTGGAACCTTTTTTGTTTATTTTTGAAGAACAAGTATAATAATTTTATATAATATAAAAATTATACATTTTAAGTTTATGATTTTTTTTTATTTGATTTTATGAATTTTAATAAGTATAGCAAACAGGCTATTAAATCAAGACGTTTTTATAGAAACAAGTCGCTAAAACAGTTACAAAAATCATTGCAATGACCTTATTTTTTTTTTTTGTAGTTCATGTAAACTAAATTTTCAGTAACGAAAGTAGTACTTACAAACGTTTTTTTGTCCTATAAGTTTGTATTTAATTAAATATATATAAATATATTTGAAAGTAATAATTAATTAGCTTTCAGCATGATCGTCATTTAAACCATTAATCTACTTATTCAGTAAATTAATAAAACTCTTTGTGTTGTATATCGGTTACATCAATTTTTAATATGATCAATTTCAGTAATTGGTGTATCACTGGACTACAGTATTTAAAATTTTAAAATCAGTTGTTTGTCGTGATAAAAATACAATAGAGTAAATAATAAAACATAAAATGCTGTAAAGATTATAATGCAATGTAGGTATTTATTTTATAATTACGACACTTGACGAACTATAAAATAATGAACGATTTCATTAAACCGAGAGTATTTAATGTAAACATTTTTATCAAGTTTAAAACACTACTAATAATAAATAGTTACTACCTATTTTTATTTAATTTGAATTTTAACCATAAATTATTTAGTTTATAATTATGTGCTGCCGGCTCCGGAGTGGCGGTAATTACCGGGTTTAAGATTTTTTCTAAAATTATTATACTGTCGTTTTCACATCTGTTTTAATATTTTCTACATCTAAATTAAACTGGGTCTTATTGCTTTTGCATAATATATTTATATGGTTAAGACAAATCTAGCACTCGCCGTTGTCATTTGTCATATGTTATAGCATTTTGTTTATTTTTTTAATCACGGGACACTCCTTATTGCAGACTATTTGAACAAAACGAGGTTTGGTCGAGCTGTACATTTCTTACATTGTTATAGTATGCGTATTTCTTTTAAAAAAGCGAACACCTACCTACAATAATAATTTTATTGCTCTTGCTGAGAATTAAATCAATTTGTATTTGCGCGCGTTTTGTTTTTATGTTTCTTATTACGAATTAATCTCGAAATTGTTTTTACTATCAATAATTAATTGTTATTTACTTTGTAACGAAATTAAAACTATGAATAATGATTATGTTAATTACTGTTTGCATACTTACTTTTTTTGTCTTTATCGATTCTAAACTACCGACTGTAAGTTTGAAATTTCTGTAAAGATCTGATTTATTTCGCAGTTTAAAATAAAATAATTTTTGTATCTATCATTTAATATAGGTTATTTTAATTGGGTTACCGATATCATAAGTTTACATGTTTTTTTTACACACTCTAAGTTCGTTTTTAAATGTCAGTATTCACTAATCTGAATTAGATCAAATATAATTTATATAAACTAGTCTAACTTGTGTTTACCCATGATTACATTATGAAAGTAGACGTATTTTTAATTTCATTGGTAAACTAACTGATTTTATGACAGAAATCATACAAGGGGAAATTTAAAGAAAACCTGACACATTTAATAAATGATCGCGTTTATTATTATTTTTTTTATTACGAATAATTTTTTCCTGTTTTAATTGATGTACATTTTTTTTAAATCAATAAAGTCGGCTAAATACCTAATGTGAATTTTTTTCATTAAACAATTCCCGATTTATATTCCAGATTTTTTTATGTCCTTAAACGAGTAGTATGCAACTAATTATAAACACTCCGTGAAACCTGTTAACATATTATACGCATTAGTGAGATTTACAGTTTAAGACATTTGGAACGCTAATAATAACACAATCCATCGAAACCACTGAATAATATTTTATCTTAATCACGTCGATTGGGTATAAGCCAGCAGCATACAGACAGAAAACATATAATCTTGGCTCAAATTTGACTTGTAAAAAAGTAAACAAACTATAGAATAAAGAATAATAATTGATTTGATAAAATTATGTACAATAAAGGCTGGTTAGTAAGTGTCAATGTTGTACTATGTACGTCACTAAGTACGAAAATAAGCTTTTCTAATTCGAAATTGGGTCATTTTAATGAGCTCTGGACCAGTGTATTTAATAATATTATCATAGTTGGAGCAAACAAACATAGTCTATGCCAATATACACAAGGTTGTTCTGTGTTAAGTACGAAATTAAATATGTTTATTTTTTGTTTAGAAAATTATAACAACATTTCAACTGGAATGGTTAAGTAAAACTTATATTGGGTTTGTTTATTTTTTAAAAAAAAAGTACTTTCTCCAGTTCGATCCAAAATAATTTGAATAGTAATAGTATTATTTATTTTTGGTTGGTCACTTACTAAAACTAAGACCATTTACCATAAAGAAGCCACAAAACGACGTCTTTCTAAACATTATTGTTTTACCCTAAGTATACATAGCATAGATAATGAATAGCATATATAGCATATTAATACCTATTTTGTATACTGTTACGGGTTACCAAGCTTATTTACGAGTTACACTATACACACAATAATAACAGTAACTTGTATTTTTTATTCTTTTTGACCTTCGTACAAGTTTACAATAGGAAACCTACGCGAGTCATAATAATTATCTTCAAAATCGTATACCATCTTTACTTTCACCTAGAAATTGAAAATTCACATAATCTTAAATACAATATTTTTCGGCGCTTGTGTGTAGCGTTTCCATTGTAATTTATTATGGGAGTTAATTATTCATTCATTTTATACAGGAAAGAGAAAAAGGAAACTGTTTTTTAAATAACATTAGCTAATTAAGAAGATGGTCTAAAATAAAAGCGAGTATCTGTACCTTAAAAGCATTCATATACTCAATATTCTATAAAAGTGATTACGACAGTACTTATTGTACACACATTTCGATTACACTCTATTTAGCTAGATTTAGATGGTTCTTAATAAAATATAATATTATGTAGTGTGTGAAAAAAAAAATATAAAAAATAGTAATTTTATTGCTCTTAAAAAAATATTCCTGTATTGATTTGGTATAATTATAGTACCATCCCCTATTTGCTACAACTTATTTTGTTTTCAGTGAATATGGTGAAATAATACTTAATAAAGATCATCACATAACCTTGAAAATATCATTACTTCCCATGTACTTATAGGTGTTTTAACTAAAAAACTATATTTTTTTAGTACACTTCAGCAGCCTATACTTAATATACTTAAATGACACCAAACTATTTACTTAATAATTATTGATACCTGCATTACTTAATAAGCAATCTCAATATTTTTGTATCGAATAGTCAAAAGATATTAAATGAAGTTGCGTCATAGTTAATAAAATATTGTATACAAAAATTGGCGAGCCATTATGGAAAAACACCGCAGGTCTTACAAGTATATGTCTTCTTTTAAATTATTAAAAAATTGCGTTGTATAAAATATAATGAACGTCGAACTTATGTTAGAAATAACTAAATTACTTTTAATAGTTAAAATACATTTTTTTCTTTTATCTTCTTCCAAACTGTATTTTATGGGTAATATTTAAACAGTATTATTAGACGTTTAAAACTTGTATATAATGCTACAAATTTATCGTTAACTTGTACATCTTAGGCTTCGGCTAGAACCCTCTTAATTTATATAATTCTATAGACTAAATATTAAGTATTCTCTACGTAGGATAGGCTAATGTATAGTTCAGCAATACAATCGTTATATACCCATTTAAGTATTTCACAATAAAAAACGTAAATCTGTTATGAAATTCGATATAAATATGGAATGTCAAATCAAAGGGTATTACTCATAATAATACGCATAATATAATGAGCATATGTAAATAATACGAACGCACGATTGAATACAACAATAATTAGTGTTCTTTGAACGATTAACATTTATTATAATTGCATTGATTCTATAATATTATACCGTTAAGATATAACTTCAATTATTTTGATCCACTTCTAACAGCATTTGTTAGTTACTCAAATAGAATTTTAGTTCGTACAATTTACAGTTCAACAGTAATTAATCTAGTACAAAATTATGATAATCTGGTTAATTCAATTTGCAGGTTTTTCAACGACAGACTTTACCGGGCAATTGGGGCGCCCAAGAGTATTGACGATATTTTTTATCCCGACGAGCCAATTCAGCTCAACGATGTGTATGAAGACTTCCGAGTGTACTGGAACATTCCGACATTCCAGTGTCACAAGTATGGCTACAATTTTACCGAGGTGGCCGAATGGGGAATATACCAAAATAAAGGGGACAATTTCCGAGGAGACCAAATAAGTCTTCTCTACGACCCGGGCTTGTTTCCGGCGCTATTACAGGGCACTGAGAGTTCTCGCAATGATTATATAATCAGAAACGGTGGCGTTCCACACGAAGGCAATCTCACAAAACATCTACAAGTGTTCACCGAAGACGTGGTCAAAAGATTAGTGCCCGATAGTAAATTTGCTGGTTAGTAATTCACCGTTAGGTAAGAATATGATTTACAAAACAACTTATAAATTATGGTTAACCGAATAATCACGATAACCACTGCCTTTACTTAAATATTTTAGTTTAATGAGCAGTGAATAGGTACCCATATAAACTATAAAAATCGTACCGTAGCCAAATGGTCATGTTTTGGCATATGAGTATTAGTGTAGCATTATTATTTATCTCAAAGGTGATGTTAGTTTTAAGATAATGCCCATATAGGCTTGTCCCTGTTGTTAAATAGCAATCTTGTAATTTTTTCCCCCTAACCTTATACGTCGTTTGGTAAAAATAGGACTACAAGAGTATCAAATTGAGTTCTTTACTTTTCATATTAGAACTACGGAGAAAAAATGTTTAGGCTTAGTTGAATGCCTAGATTTTGTATAATATCTTAACCGCTTTTACCATATCTAGATATGTAATTAATCATACGCATTATAGAAATCGTTCAATTAAAAAAAAAAAAAAATTGAAAACACGTTCACTGCCCCACTCCCATCTATTTATTATCTCACTTTATTCTAAAATGAATATGTAAAAAGTACTAATTAATAATAATTAATAATGTTATATAAAGCGTGTTACAATATTTAGAGCGATCAGTAATAACCAAAATATAGTATTAGTGTTCGATTGGAAATAAATGGTGTAAAATAATAATTTGGTAAGTATAAATTAAGTGTGCGTTGTGTTTAGGAATTGCTGTAATTGACTTTGAGCACTGGCGTCCGATGTACGATGAAAATTTCGGCTCCTTACAATCCTATAAAGATTATTCAATGGAAATCGAAAGATACTACCACCCGTTGTGGCCGGATAGTGAACGACAAAAAGAAGTATACCCAAAAAAAAAAAAAATACTAATAAATGCTAATAACTTATCTACTTAATAGATAATAGTGATATAGTTGGTGACGGATATAGTTGGAAAGTGAGAAATTTGAAGTTATCGATTTCTGTGGAATAATATTAATAAACGTATACTTTAAAATAGTTTGGTACACTAATTACAATAATACATAATATAATAATAACAGATATGCACACAAATTCTGTAAATGTGTACATTTTATACTAAAGAATGTTAAAGTTTAACATAAACATATTCAATCAATTACCTTTTTTAAAGAAATTACATAATGTATGTACAAGTATGTAGTTAAATAGAAAAGTCTAAGTAATTCTGTGTAATGGATGAACTTACAAAACATACACAGGGAGACATCTTATTGTCAACTGTTTTTATGGATGATGTAGATTTAGAGCATTAATATACAGGATAATTAGAAGTGTATACAAAGCAATAAAGGGAGTTGTTATTTAGACTATTTTATACAGTGTTATAAGAAAAACTATGGTCTATAGCGAATAATTTCTCACTTAAAAAATATTTTTCTATATTAATATATACTGTTTTAATGCACGAGGACAAATTATTTATATTTTATTGGTGATTTACTTAACTCCTAAATTATTTTAATAAATCATATGTTATATTTTAGTGTTTTTTTCTTTTTCTTTAGGCCGCAAGAAAGTTTGAAAAAGCAGCGTATCAATTCTTAAAACGAACATTAGAGATTGCCAAGTCTTTAAGGCCCAAAGCCCATTGGGGCTATTATGGATATCCGTTTTGCTTTAATTACACGCCTAAGAATAATCAACCAAATTGCTCGCCCGGCGTAATTAAGAATAATGAAAAGTAATGTAAAATGCCAATAAGATATATATTTTGATAGCTCCTATTTTACTACATATATAAGATGGTAACAACAACAAAAAATGTAAAGGTTGAATTAAAAACAAATATTATTCAACTCTTTCTCATTGAGATATTTGTTAGTTTTTCAATGTTTCTATTATAACAATTAGTCACGAAAAGTCGTGAAACATATAGAGACAATAAAAGGTACCGAAAATAAATACGCTACATTCTTTTTTGTTTTTAAGTAATTTGTACCCTTATAAAGTTTCCACTTAATAAAATAAAAACATAATATGTAAAATATATATTATATATTATTTTATAATATATTATGAGCTAGTTGATTGATTTAATTAAAAGAAACTGAGAACAAAATTAATTTCATGTAACTAGTCTCGTGTAATTTATTTTACAATATATAATCAATTAGAGTATGCACGAACAATAACATAATTGTCTAAAATCACGACTACGTCATTTTCATTTGTGACCTATCGGTGAGAGTTGCATGAATTGTTATTCATGCGTATAATCATGAATGCAATAATTGTAGGTATTATGCATGAATAGCTTGAAAAAAATGCATGGACAATATTTTTGTTTTCTTCCCGTGTTGATTTTTTTATTTTTTCCAATAACATTCACCATTCTCCGAACATTATTTCTAAAATACCTTCTCATCTATCGCATCGAAACTAAACATAACAACATAATAAAATGGAGTAAAAATGAAATATTAACACATTTGTTATTGAAAAATAACTACCATTGTGTAAATATTTTCGATTAGACGTTGCAAAATGTAATTTTTCTACTATAAATATGGCCTACATGAGGTATACAACTATTAGTAGCAATCTCAAAACAATAATTTATAATATAATCGATAAGCTAATATGTGTAGCTAAATAGCTTTTTAATCTGTAACTACCCAAGGAGAAAACGACACAAATCATTAATCGGGAAAATTGTAATATTATTCTTGTTAACGGGCCTCTACGCTAGGATAAGAACTTCCTAAGAATATAAGAATGGCATCGACCGTGACACAATCTCAAAATTATTTTTAGTTAAAATTATTTTTAGTATCTATTTGAAAAATTGCAATTTTTAAAGTTTTTTCATTATTTTTACAAAAACATTAATAACTGAAATCTAAAATGTACTTCCATTTATGTATCGAGCAAGTATTGAAAAATTTAAATGTATGCTTAAAAATAGAATGAGTTGTTTTTGACCAAATATATGCAGATGTAGAGGCCTCTTAACTATAACAAGTAATTTCCCAGCAAGTTTTTATTAAATAGGCTATAGATAATATATATATTATGTAGCTATTATTAAAACTTAATTTTTAGTATACACTTTTATTAAGTACTTCTCATCATATATGTTTATCAGGACAAAATGGTTGTTTGAAGAAAGTACTGCCATATATCCGTCATTGTATTATAAATCGGAGGACATGAGCGTGGAGACAAGAGCCAAATTTATGAAAGGTAGAATGATGGAAGCTTTAAGAGTGTCAAAAATGACGAGTCCGAAAAAACCAGTATACGCTTACACGTGGCTCAAGTATTACGATACAAAACAATTTGTGGAAAAAGTAATTTCATAACAGATAATTTATATGTATTATTACTTAGTTAATATTAGTAAATAATCATTGGTACCGTTAGTTAGTTATTGAAATTTAAAGACAAGCGTCATATTTTTTAGGTACCTACTTACAATAGTCTACAACTTAAAATGTCTCCAATTAATAAAATATTATTTTTAACTACTTATTATTATTTTTTACAGGCTGACCTACTAAATTCACTTACAATCCCTAAAAGGAATGGAGCAACAGGAATAATAATATGGGGAGCTTCAAATGATGTTAACAATGAAAAGAAATGTAAATCTCTGTTAAACTATCTAAATGGCGTTTTGGGACCTACCCTTAAAACATTCTATAAGACCAAGAAAAAACAACTGAGACGAAGGAAAGCAAAAATGGATGATTTTTTTGACTACTTTGTGGGATAACTTTTAGTCACGCCCATAATAAACTATTTTTTTAAACTAAATTTGTAAATTAACTAGATATTAAGCGTTTAAATTATTTGTAAATAAGTAAATCATTTAATTTATTAAAAACTATCGTTTGTCTTTTTTTTTAAAAAACCCGCTAAACTACAGTTTCATTATAAATTATAAATTAATAATTATAGTATTTAATTTAATACTACATGTGTTTGAATTCGTAGATGTCAAACTAGTTCTTACTTATAAAAATAATATTATGTGAATATATTTTTTTGTGGCTTGTTTTAACTGTTTATACCATGATACACAGTACCTAAAAAAGTTTATTTTCATGGTTATAAACGTTATTAATATAAATAATTTTACGAGTGATGAATTCATTATATTTTATTTATTGAACTATTAGTATACTTGAAATTTGTTTGGCTAAATTCGTTATAATTACGTGGCCTCTACGCCTGCGTATTTTTGATAGGCATTATTAATTATTAATTAACTAAAAATAATTTTATATTTAGGCACGATCTTTATCTTGTAAATGTTATGAAGATCCAAATTTTGTTTTAAACTTACATCGTATTATTTTTTAAGAACATACTGTTCGATGTAGAAACCTTTGTTTTAGGAACAAAAATAGAACCTGTATACATTATAGAAGAAAAATATAATGTAATAATTTGAAAGATTAATATTAAAATAGATCCCTTTTTCATATGTTTAATGTTAACATTTATGTTTACAAATTTTAGCATAATGTTTTAGTGAAAACTTGCTTCTACAATACGCCTTAATAATTGGAGGTCCCTTTAGGTTTTTTTAATAATATGTATTTAAAAAATTACATTGAAATATTTACTCTGATGCATATAATTCATTTATTAATTTTTGACAATTGTTCTATCAGAATAGACATTTGCATTTGCATTTTGGTTTATTGTAACTAAAGCATTCGATTGATAAAACAAATGGCCTTTCTCACCGGTTATGGTTAAAAACTAAGTTAAATAGTTATACTAAATTTAGTTATTCGTTTTCAAAAAAATTGTTTTTCGCTACATATCTAGTTTATCACTTATAACATATAGGTAATTGAGGGGCTGGGTGCAAGAAAAGCATTTTCACGGAAATGCCCTTTTTGCTTTAAATGTTTTTTTGAATTCAGCGATCTCTATACTATATTTGTATATAATTTTAGTTCGAAATTTTAATAATAGAGTGCTGTAGAAGCGTCTACCATGTGAGCAGATCCAAAAGAGTGTCTTACACTTGAAACTTTAACTTCGTTTATCTCAAAACACGTTTTTCTAGAAAATGCCCTTCTTGCACCCAGCCCTTTCAATTATAATGTATTAAAAACTTGTTTAGGTGTTATTTCAACTTAAAAAAATTGAAAAGTAAAACGAATTGTCAAATCAATTTTAATTTAATAATTATTAAGCTAGTCAATTTATTTGTATTAGTGTTCTGCAATCTATTTAATAATATACCAATCGAGTGTTAACAAAATTATCTTTTTCTTTGGATTATCATTCTTATTGTAAAACCACAATGAAAAATGTTAAAATTGTTTTGATAGAAACGATATTTTATTAGTATGGTAGCATAATAATATAATACTGAATCGTAGTGTATATTAGGTTATCTAAGCTGAAATAAAAGGAGAAATATTTTTATTTATCAAAAATCGTGATAGTTAATAATTATTGTAGTTCATTAATATCTACATAATTTTATTTACAATAAAATGGTTATACGATTATAAATGGTAATATTGGTGTTATTTTAGATTTAAATATTAGGGGATAAAAGTTTTAGATAAATTTGGAATTTGGGTTCACGATCAATTATTTATTTCAATTATTTTATTATCACGAGTTAAAATAATTTAATTATAACGTTTATTATCAAAATATACTTTTTTTTCAATTATTACAAAAATGTATTTACAATGTAATAGTATTTATAACGTTTTTAACAACGAACTTTAGACAAATAATGTCGAATAAATATATATAATAACAAAAAATATTTTAGTAAATCAATTATTATCATTCCATAAAAACTATGATAAAATTATAAGTTACTTAAAAAGTGAAGTCTAATAATTAATAAATAAACAACATGTTCATAAATAATTGTACATAAAAATGTGTAATAATTGTAAAGCAAAACATATAATTACAATTTATAATAAGTTATCTGTCTCTTTTTACAGTAGTAAATTGATTATAAGTAATCCTAAGAACTGATTCAACCATTAATATGATGTAAATAGCTGACCTAACATAGGTCATATTTGGGGTTCATTCGACAATAATCCAAATTTAATGATCTCGAATTCCACAGACCCCTTCCTGACAAGATTAAACTGTCAGCGTGATACACGGTAGGTTGTACAAAGCGGCATTAATATAGGTACATAATATGCAGTACCCATCAACACCGCATATTGACACATTTTAATAAGTATACCTTTTAAACTATCCTATTATTCTTGTTTCAGAATGTTTGATGATAAATTATAGCTACCTATTTAATCACTTTTCAGTGCACGTATGTTATCCCAACAAAACAGATGTCCTGTCTTTTGTACAATAATAAAAACATTATAATGGTATAGAATAACAATCGGGGCGTTTCTCACTCCTATTGAAAATGTTTTACAACATAATTTTTAGTAACGGCAAGCAATAATAATAATAATAATAATAATAATAATAATAATAATAATAAAAACTAATAGTAACAATAATAAAAATGTACAAAAAATGATCATAAGATAAAGTATTTAAACGTAATAATACTATGAAGGATTACAGAACGGAGAAGACGACAGTCTCAACAATTAGCGTAGGCATTTGTCGATGAATGGAACAGTTGGGTTATGTTGGTTTTTTAATAAACCACAGTCGTTTAAAGTTTTAGTTGAGCCCACAGGTGTTTGTATCCACTTTTAGTCGGTCGTACGATAATGTTCTACCTTTGAGTTTGGTAACGGTCACTTGAATGGTATAGGTCAACGACGGTTTCAGCTTTAATATTTTTTCAATGACTGGTTTCCTAATAACATTTGTACATGCAAATTAGTATGTTTGTCTGGTGACAGTGGTTTTATTTCAATGGTCACTAATTTAATGGAATAGGTACAACACTTACTTATTGCCACCGAAATAACACTTCTTTTTGATATTGGAATTATTGTTTCTTCTAACCATTGAACGGTTTGAGATGGTGCATTGATCTGGTTTCGTCGAAAATTCTACATTGTTATTGTATTCTTGTACATAAACGCAATACGATACACTTCTGTCAGATTTAGCAGGCAGCCATCCAATTGTTACCGATTGACAGTCATTGCGTTTACCGTATTTTATTAAGCTTAAGTCTGCAGGCATATCAGGCATAGGAAACATTTTCTGTCGAACTGTTGCCATCACCTGTTACAAGAATAAATGGTTAAATATAATTACAAAAAGAAGCTTGATAGTTCAAAAAAAAGAAAGAAAAGATAATTATTTCACAAAACATTGAAGAGTTGATTATTATCATTTAGATATAGATTAGTACTTTTTAAAATTCTCTCTATACTGTTTATGTGCATTGAGCCAACTTTTTAGAAAATGTAAACTAATGTATTTTTTTAATTTTATTTAAACAAATAAAATAATTTTAAAAATATTTTACAACAGAATAGTTTATGTAGATAGTTTAATTTAACATTTTTTATCGAAAAATATATTTTATAATCAATTGTTTTTTTCACAAAAATAACGATTTTTATTTTTATTTTAATAGAAAATAAATCAGTAAGGTGACCAATATTTAGTAATGATTTAACGATAAAACAACCTTTCATTCTATTTTTTTAATCAATTGTTCTTTTCCATTAAACAATAGAAATCAGTGTATTAAATAATTGTATTTATATTGTAAGTATTAATTCTATTATTTGAGATAAATTTTTAAATTGCAGACAAATAATTTGAATCAATTAATTTATTATTATCTACACTCTGAATATTGTATAGTTACCACTTTCTTTTTACAAGTAACAGTTAATAAATATAATGAGAAAATTTAATAGGAGCGTTGGGAAATAAAAACATATTTTGGAAGTAATATTGTTATTTGATTGTATTCTGTGACCTTAATGACATTAACTGTAAAATTAATGGGAGCAATAATACGTCCAGTGCATTATTGTAAAATTATAATATAATAAAATTATATTTAATACATTTTATTGATAAGTTCCTACAAAAAGTGTAGTGAAAGATTATTATTAATATTGCAGTTTTACAGCAAGGTAACTTACTCTACTGGTATTGATAATTACTGATAATATTATAAAGAGGATCATGTTGTTTTTGCATGGTTCCTCGCTATATTATTATCAGTACTATAACGCCCTCTATAGCTGTTGCTGACAAACGATAATACGATATTTAACTAAAACAGTAACACTAAAAAAAAAAAATATATCTCGATTGGTTTTATATACCTCAATGGTTCTGACGCGTTGAGTTTCATCCACGGAAACCGTTTCCACTTTTAAGACGTATCTCTCTCCACGTTTAATGTTGTTTAAAATTAATTTTTCGTAGCCAAATACTCGTTTCTTCAGCAGCAATACTTTTTTATGTCTGATTTCTACATCCACGACCCCGTTACACGACATCACGTACCAATATAACGTACTAGGGTCACCGCCATCAGCCATTGTTTTACGACCTACCTAAAATGAAATCGAGGTTATTGATCAATTTAAAATCGAACCCGAAGCGCCCACAAATTAAATCAGCCCACCAACCTTGTACCTGAAGGATGCTCTTCCGCTCAAAGCTCTCAGATTGACTATTTCGGGTTTGGCATCCTTTAGCCCGAGTGGTCTTGGCCTTTGAAATGTATATGTAGCGTTTGCGTGTTGCGTTGGTGACATGCGAGACCCGTTGACGGCAAACACCGTAAAGTAGTATGTCTTATCGTTGACCAGATTATTCAAAGTATAGTGTGTGTTGCCTTTTAAGTAGTGTATCTATATACAAAATAAAAAAAAAACTAAATTGTATACTATTTCTCTTTTTAAACGGATCATTTCAACTACTTATTTTTATAATTAGTATAGGTATTTACCTCCAATCGTTCGTTTAGAGGCGAGTCTTCGTTTTCAATGGACGAATTCAATTGTTTGTCTGCCAATCTGCCCTCGGCTTCACACAACGTGGAATAAATTTTCGATGTACTGATAACTAAATAATACTCCATTAGGTGATGATCCACCGGGCTATAAAAAATAATTCATAGAAATTCTGAAATATTATTGTTATACTTAATGATTTTGTGCAAAAATAAAAAAATGAATCTACCTTAAGTTCCATCTGAGCGCAACTTTTTCACCTTCTCTTTTTATTTTAATACATCTCGGCCAAATTTGCTCTACGGGAGATTTTTTCCCAAAAGATAAATCAACCTTGACTTGTAAATCGTCATTTACAGCTTGAGCCGTTATAAAGTATAGGCCAGGAATAGCCTTAGGTCGAAAATAGGTCGTGGGTATTGATACGCCGGTGTACTCAGCCAATAATGGTCCGGTTTTTGGTCCGTTCACTAAAGTCACACAATACATATTGACAAAATATTTACCATTTGCGTGAAATAGCATTAAGTAGGTATTTCTTGTAATAATGTAATCTACTTATTTACGTACATTTTGTTCGCGGTTCCTTTACGAATGTTAGGTACCAGTTTAGCGTAGAGCCGCACGGCGATACGGTAATAGTTAGGCTCTTATCCGTGTCTTGAGGTATCAAAATGTAAATTCTGCGTGGACATAAAGTATGTGTTAATTGAAATGAAAATTATGGTTTATTAAGACACACTAAAGTAAAAATGATATGCTAAAGAAATACCAACGCGTTTATAATAATTAGTTTTTGACTTCACAATGGTCTAATTTTAATTAATCGTAAATAGGTACTGATGCGTTCCCTTTTAAACGTCGTACAGCAAAGTTAAGAAAAAACTTTGATAGAAAACTAATAGGTAGGAGCCAAAACGTAGGTACTTGAGTTTATCGATGATAATTTCCTCGCATAGACATGTTTCTAAATAGGTACGAATAAATATTATAGTAGGCATTAGTCATTAATATTTAATATATTTGATGAAAATAAGAATCCGTTGTCATCTAAACATAGATACAGCCAGTTCTCAAGATGTGTTTACATAGACATTGATATTAAGGTCTATAATAGTTAATCAAGAAGTAAAATGTGGTTAGTCTAACAGACCATGTTCCCATAGAAGGAAATCACACGTAGTAATTTGTTTTGTATTTTTTTCCATCCAATTTTCTGAGAAGTTATCAATAATAGTACAGACGTTTCCGGAAGAGGTGTACAATTTGTCATTTCAACAGATCAAATTTTTACTGATCAGCATATAGACTAGACGGTGTCATTAATTATTAACATTGATGGTACAGGATTTGTAGGATTTCTTTGAAGGTTAAAAAAACCAAATCAATCAAATACATTCCACGAGACGGAAAATATGTATAGTTTACAGTTTAAAAATTTGTTAATTGATGCGTCTGATATAGATTTAATCCACTTTTTCCCCAGACAATAATTTTATTTTGCTGATGATACACATAGAGAGGCATTAAAAAAATGTCTTCTAATATCAACAGGATGCAGTTTCTTAACAATATCCGAGCCAATCAAATAAGTCTGGATCCGGGGAACGTGTTGGTTTTATAATAATATACATTTTTTGCTCCTGTTGACCCTGAGTAATCTATTGTCATAGACCATAGTTTATTAATTAATTTTTTTTTTTACAAACTTGTATTGATTATAATAATGTGTATCGAATAGTTTAAGGATAAAAATTAGGAAATGTATTTTCCTCTTCCCAAATATTAAATCAGAAAAACTTCTTCATAATAAAAATGTTTAAACATCTTCTTTTTGAATATTATTAATATTTTTTTAAGTGATGGAAGAAAAAGAGTAAAGACTAAATTTGTCTTGGAATTTCAATTTTATTAAACAGTATATAGAATTAAAATATGAGCTGGAGGTTCATATAATAATAAAGAAAAGCATGTAATAAAATTGAAATGATATCAAGAATGGTCGAAGCCTGCGGTGAGAGTTTTAAGTTCCGGAAATATAAAATTTTAAAGACGGAGGATAGAACATTTTTCTATATCATTAAATGAATAATAAATCTGTAAGAATAATATCGGTTAAGTATAAAAATGTAAACGCTTAGGAAAGAGAGGTCATAATAGAAGCGAATTATAGGTAACAATATTAACCAATACCTAGTATTATTAGTACTGAAAATGTTAAAATATTATATCGACTAGGTTTATGATCTTTCAAAACTGGTCTTAGTAAAATAATAACTTCTAATTTATTGTAAATTTATAATTATAGTTTTTTTTTTTTTGAGAATATCAATTTCACCATAACGGCATAGACTTTTATTTTTTGACGTCATATTATGATCAAACCATATCAAAACATTAGACTCCCAAACAAACGGAACAGTTTTACTATATTAGACAATGTTACCGAGTAGAACACAATTAAAAATAATAAACTATAATAACTTATCATTGTATAACCGTTACTTTGTCAACTATGCGTAGAACTCATATTTATAGTAATACAGCTGTAACGTAGAGCGAGTGTAATTAAAAATAAAATAATAAAGTATGCGACATACGCGCTTATAATATGTAAATTCATAGTGTTATCATATATGTATACACACATATATGATACATATACATTTGTGACGTACCTATATGTATATACTGTATAAAAACATTGAGATCCCAGTTGAGATAACGAGAATCCTACATCGTCTAGACTGAAGTTTATTTTTTCTAGGCCAAGGATAATTTTGGCGGTGCACTAACCCGGGGTATCTCGACGTGTAATATTTCTTAATGATAATACGTACATATTGTACTTGAAACTAGGAAATACACTGTATTATTGTTGCAAAAAAAAAAAAACATTACAATAATAAAGGTCAACACCAACGCATCGTTACAGAATTAGCAGTATAATCTATTGCAACCGTCGAGTTACTGCTGTCAATGCGCTTGCGAACAACGGCCCCGGATTGTTATTATTATTATTATTATATGTATATATAAATATATATATATATTATGCATGCATGTATTTTATTTTGCCATTTTTTCAAGTGTACCACCAGCTCCCCCCGTCATCGTCGTTATCAATAATGCATTCTATTTGGGCGTTGCAGCGTTGCCACCGGGTGACGACCTGTAAAATTTTGAAGAAACAACCGATATGTGTTGTTTGCACGTACATTATACACAACAGTGGAGACGTGTATGTATCGGAAAGCAGTTATCGAAATTATAATAATATATGATTTGTAAAAAACGCGAAAAGTTAATTTATTGAAATTGCTGAATTTGTTTTATACATTTGTGTTTATTTTTCTGTAAACATTTAGGTACCTATATAAGATTTTAATGTAACATAATATCAAAACTATTGCCAACGAACGGCTTGCTTTCGGGGGATAATTTTAAATAAAAAAACCAACTATGGCAAAACGTTTTATGTATAAGTTAGTAAATTAAAATATATGGATTTTAAATGTTCACTCACGTCTTTAAGCCTTTAACTACTCGCGGCCGAAGCAATATATTTTCACTTGTGCCATGCTTCGAACGCTTTTCTATTCAATTCTAATACAGTTATTTATTTGTTAGGTACTCATAAAATATTTACGTTGTAACCAGTATTCATAAGAACAGACATTTTTGTTTTTACCAGTAGCACAACACTATATCGGATGAAAATACCTATAAACGTATCAATTTATAACAATATGGAAGAGCTAAATGTAATGTGGTCCAGTCAGTGGTCGTTACATGACGGTTAACTACCTAAAAGCAATGGCCGAGCACTATCATTGGTCCGACCACTTTCACGGTTATGTCCACGATTCTGAGAACAGCCTTACCCTCAGTTAAAATTGACAAATGGCATTTTTTTTTTTTTTAAATCAACCGTATGTTATGCTTATTACGTAGGCACTTACACTTGTAGTGCTTGTTTTTTTGACGGATAAATGGTTGTTATTTTTTATAACACTTCGTATAATATTGTTTTTCAAATTTTATTTTATCACCAATATTGTTTGAACGTTTTATATTCGTTTTACGCCCGCCATTATATATTATACCTACTTTATGGTTACTCGTAGCTCAGAGCATAAAGTTATTGTTATAATACGAGTACCGACTACCTATCGAATATGACTGGAGAAATGTATCAGAAAATATTCAGAAATAATTTGTTTTGGTTTAAATTGTATACTGCACCGCAGTTATAATTTGGCACAGTCGTAATAAATATGTGCCAATATTTTGTTTTAATTTATTGAGCACTCTACAGACTACAATATCACAGACGATTACAAGGTTCTCGACTAATGCATAAATTAATTAATATTGATAAACCCGTTGGTAAAAGAAGAAAATTGCTAAAAATGTCCACACTGGTTAATAACTGTTTTATCTCATAAATTTCAATTTGTTAATTAGTTTGTTGCAAAAGTACCTATTGTATATTTATTATTACATTACCTACAAACATGTGTTTAATTATAAATAAAATATGATAACTACCTGAAATCTCGTGGAGTTTAACGTGTATACCAGCTACTATGGTGCTAACGCGGGAGGCAACTATTATTTTTTTACCAACAATTTTACGATAAGAAATAAAGGTCACCGGAGAGAAGTCGGATATGATTGGGAGGCACCTCAGATGAAAAATGTTGACTACCTGGCACGGAAGGCAACTAGTAGTTTATGAAACAAGAAGTTACGATAAGAAAGGGAGGCAATTCGTATGCGCCCACCTACACCTATAAACTTCACCTGAAAATTGTTACAATAGCCTTAAACACTTTAAAAATATTAACAAATCATACTAATATTAACGATTTTATACAGTTTTTAATTTATTTTTATTATCAAAATAATATATATATATATATATATATTTTTTTATTATTATTAGATATTTTTAAAACTGACAAATGAATTCCTTAATTTCCTTAGATTACTATTTTTAGTTATTTGAAGAGTCCGGTGCAAGAACCGGCTATGCCCATTTCTTATAAAAAATTGTTTTTTCGTGGAAAAATATTCATGGATAAATTATTTATATTTTTTTGCATAAAACAGTAAAATATGACTATTACCTTCAAAGATATTACAAAACGCATTTTCCCCTATCAATAGTGGTAAATGGGACAACGGATTTTTGTTTGACCGTCCTGAAAATGTTCAAAATATGGATATAGCCGGTTCTTGCACCGGACCCATCATTGTCCAAAGCGCAACAAACTTTTGAATTTTAACTGTGAACGTGTATATTAACATAATATCTAAAGACTATACTTCTAAGAGTAAAATAATTTGCTGAAAAGTTTCACTGGTCGATTACCGGTTTTGAATAATTAGGTACTTTTAAAGTTGTAAGGTTTTAAAATTTAGGACGGGAGATGAAGTGCGATTGAAAAACGTGCAAAGATAGAAATAACACTACACTTCACCCTTTAACCTGCTAAATGGACCCTGCATATGTTTTAGGCTAGCACAATTAGCATATTGGCAAAAAAACAATTGTTAATACACCGTTCCGACACACTTTCTAAGAATTTTCTTTATTGTGTTTGTCCTGAGGTGTTGATAAAATTTTGAATATTAAAGTCGACAGCCTGCCTATGCCCTATACCTGCCTATCATGTATAATGAGTGGAGTCATAAGGTTTGGACTACGTGGCATCATCTGAGAACAATACGTAATTGAGTAACAAATATTATTACGTTTTATAACGATATGGAAGGTATTTTTTCATAAAGGCTTTGTCGGCCGAGTAAAACAAAAAAACAATGAAGGGTAAATGTAAAGTACTGTTGACGTGCATATCTGATCCCAACAGTGCTAACATAATTAAACTAAATTCGTAGAATAATTCTTAAAATAATATAATATTATTGTAGATAGCATAATCTTAAACATAATAGTAATTTTGTTACCTCATACTTAATGCGCACTGTTTTTTTATTTTAATAATTATTACATTCATTTTGACCTCAAAGAATGATTTTTGATTTCGTTTTGCAGTAATCAGAACATCGCGAAAATAAAATTTATCTGTATAGCCGACCATCTAACAATATTACAATAATAGAAATTATTCTGTTTTTTGTTAATATATTCTTAATTGTAAAGAGCGATATTTAATATGTTCAATACTTCAATGGCCACGTAACTTGTTATCTATGCAAACTACTATTAGTTAATGTAAAAGAAATTAAATGTTAACTCATCTAGGCAGGAAAAGACAAAACGTAATAATGCGCTGAAAATAATATTAAGAAGTTAATAAGATAATCTGAGCAAAAATTGTTTAGGATATTTACATATTTTATAAATTTAATGTACACCTTTTTAAGTTACTCATCAAATAATTACTCTAGGATTGGATTTAAAGTGTCAGTATTTGCTGTCTGACCTAGCTTCTTATTAATAATTTAATTAATATAACATATATTTAATTTAGTCTTAAAGAAGGAATATGTAAAAATTTAAACTTGGTCGGATAATATTATAATGTTTAGAGCTGACTCAAAGCTTTTGTCTTTTACATTTGATTAACACATGATAAGTTGATACTTATTTGTTACTTTTTTTTTTTAGTGTTGCAGCTCGTTTGAAATATGATGAAATATACTTAAAAAAAGTGTAAGAGAAAAATATTTGATATCATTACTTAAAAGTTAATATAAAAATAAACATGCTGTTTTTTTTTTAAGTAAATAAACAATGTAGTCAATAAATCAAATATTTTTCTCATACATTTTTTAAAAGTTTTTACTGTCATCTTTTCTACAAGATCACTCCGAATATTGTAGCTCCACAATTAGTCAATAATCCGATATCAAATATTTTTCTAGTATACTTTTTTGAAGTTTTTTTTGTCATCTTTCCAACAAGCCCAAAACGAAATTTCAGTTTTGAAGCTTAAAAATTGAAAAAAAAAATTAAAAGAAAAAAGATATTAATCAAAACACGTTTTAATGAAATAGAAAAGTAGCTTAGAGTCACCCTTAATATTATCTGATTTTCAAAAATTGACTTATTTTTTTACCCTAAATTAAAGATTTTTTGGGTAAACAAAAAAAAAATTATTTTTGGGTCTGTCTAATATCTTATATATAATACTTATTCGTTATATATATTTTTTTTTAAATTATTATAAATCTTAATATTGTTCTTTCGTATTTATCAAAATTCAACGATCAACTGATTTAATTGATGTAGATGTATAATATATTTAAAGTATAATATTAATTAGGTTGTAATATTAAAACATGATATTGAATAATAATCAAATATTTTATAACGAAATGTTGAAAATGTTTACGTTTGCTATTAATTAACAAAATATAATAGTTACTGAAATTTGCTACATCAACGTTAATATATTATAATATAATATTATATCATAGTTATAATATTTCGATCCCACACATCTAATCAAAAATAGATCGGCTATGAAACAACAACATTTTGTTTTTGAACTAATTTCTGTTATTAAACATTATTTTTTAAAGATACAATACTATGTATTATGCGTTTTTTAAGTATTGAAACAATGCAAATTCACGTCGAAGGTAATGCATTTTTTAAAATACAAGTATTGCCATTGTACATTATAATATTAGTGTTATTAACTATTTTACTACCTATAGATTTCATTGTTCGAGTGAAAAATTCGATAATCGCTAATTTGAAATACTGTAACCGAATAAAACCTGTTTCTCGACCATAAATAGTTTATTGCTAACCTAAATATCGGTAGCCCAAAATATGTAGTCATAATATAATTTATACATATGAATTGTTTAAATAATTTACATTTTTTATTATCTAGTAACTATTAACTAGATTCTAGTTAATAAAATATAATTATGCGTTACTATTTACCGGCATTATTATGTATATATATCTTAGCTCCAGTTGATAAGCCTCATTTAAAAAAAAAAAAATTAAATAAATCTTAAAGAGACCATTCTGCTCAGGGAAACCAAGACCTGTCAATTGAAGTGGCGAGAATCAAAAAGTTATAAGTGGTTTTAAAAAAAGTATTACTGGAGAGCAAAAGGGAAACTATTTTTTTACATCTTCTTATACAAGATGATCATTATAATTTATTTAATATTTAATTTTTTTTTAATTGACGAAAAATTGTTAAATAAATACGAAGTATAAGGTTTCAACGACAAATACTTTACATAGGTAATAAAATTGTAGTTTGAAAAAATTGTCCCCGGTACCCTTAGTTGTAACGCTTTAATTAGATGGCACTTATAAAACAATAATATTACTTACTCTTTTTTGGTTTTGGTAATGGTTCCCGTATACGTCATGTCACCTTGCATGAGCACCAAACTTTCGGGTGTCTTTCTTGGTATCGCTCCTTGCGGTAGCCGATCGGCTAGCTGATCCGCCAGTTGATCCTCCATCTGCAAATCGTCCTCGTCGTCCATCATATCCATCGAATTGGCCGTCAACAGCAGCTCGACCATTAAAAAAACCAACCATAACCGTACTACCATCGTCTAAAATCACACAGGGGAAAAACCCATCAAACAAAAGAATTAGTAATCATCATTAATATTTACAAAACGGTCAACTGTTAATATTATTATTATTCATTATTGTGTACATGGAAATATATAAAACATTTTTTACCGCTCTACCTCAACACTTGTACAGCCGCGTCTCTCTCGCCGGCTTGTGAGTAACAGTGGGAGTGTTGTAAAAAGAAGTTTTTTTTTTTGCGCACGAAGAACAATGCCGGCTCTCGTGGGGTATAGTGTACTTTTTTCCATGTGCGGGCGAAGATTGAAACGAGCAGCGGGTGGACGGGAGATCTAGATATTACGGGTTCGAATTTCAACTGGTCGCTAATTTTACACGGAGCGAACACGTAGAAAAAAAACAGACAAAGACGACACGAACAAGTTTATTTACATAAAAAAAAAACCGTATTGGAAAAAACGGAGCCTGGAAGTTAGATGGGGAAGCCAGTGTTACGAAAAAAAAAATTAGTACACTAGTCAATAGTATATACACACACATACACGTTAAAACACTAGTATGTAAGTCTACACCGGGAGATTTCGTTCTCGTTTTTTTTTTGCTTTTTTTCGCGCAAATTTTTACAATTCCAACAGAATTACACGACAATCGTGCAGCATGAAACACTATTCACATAGGTCAATATTGCCGAATTCGCATCATTCTGATTACAATGTTTGTGTGCATATTATGCGGTTTTTTTTACACTTTAGGAGCAATTATTATTATTATACAGCTAAAATATATTATCAACGGACGTATTAAGGATTGTATTATACAATTAAGCGGTTCCTTGGAAATAAATCTTCCGCAAATTTCTATTTATCCACTATACACGAATAACATTGGCGTTTTAACGGTGTTTCTTTCGGCCGGAGGGCAGAGCTGATGTAAAAAGTATAATAATAATACAAATATATTTTAATATGAAATATCGAATAACGAGGAAATTATTGCCCGGAGGTGTCGTTACAAATTGTTTTCACTATAATCTAAAATTTATAATAATAATAATTATAACATGATACTATAAAGGTTTATAAAAAAAACCTATAATATTATTCAAAACGATTTGTACGTGTCACTCCGGCACGAATGTAATTATAATTTCGGTAATTGCGCTTGGCGTTTATCGATAAAAAAAAACCCGTAGGTAACTTGGTTGTATAAAAAATAATCACCTCTTGTGACACTGTACGCAATGTGGGTGAACATTCCTGGGGTTGGTTAAACTCCCCGTAAAGGTTCACATGACGAATTGCCTCGAAAGAATAAAAAAAAAATACTTGAAGACTGGATTGAAAAATCGACGTACCTTAGGGTGTATAATAACAATGTTATAAGGAGGGTTTTTTTTTTGTTATATTATGTTCCTGTATATCTTTTGATAAAATAATAATAATACATTACAGGCTTTTTTGTGTGTGAGTGTGTGTGTATACGCAGTCCTTAGTGTGTTTTTCTAGAGAAATATTATTATTTTTGACTTTGAGAAGCATTCGCGACGGGCTGTCGTCGAAGGCGTTTATTTTCCGGGGATGGATTTAAAGAGGACAGCGTCTATCGGTAGCTGTTGCTGATAATTTGTCGAACGGTAATTACTCATCTAGTCGGGCTTCAGCAGCAGGAAATCTATTTTCGTTCGACGGCAAAGCGAACAATATATTGTGTCTTTTTGCTCGACAATGGCGAAAAGAAACAATGCCTGTGAGGCACCGATAGGGCACATATAATGAAATAGACGAGGTCAGAAACGCAGAGATACACACACAAACGTATTTTTAAGTCTAAATCCGTCATCGCATCCCCTCGTGGTATTTGTCGCCAAATATGTTGGACCGATGCCCAATAAAAGAGACCGGCGGCGATTGAGCGCAGACGTGACCGCCGCAAAAGGGTGCAACAACTTTGCAGTTATCGTCGTTTTTTTCAGACCGAAAGTGCATTAATAATAATTGTTTTTGTTGTCGCATTGCCGATATTGTTTTAAGACGAGAAAACTAAAAAGCGAATAAAATAGTAGATATATTTTAGCTCCTGTGTTTTTTTCTTTTTCATTTCTGTTAATTTACGCTCTCTACTACTGTAACCAACACTAATTATCAAAGCAAATAACGAATCCACCAATATTGTTATGATAGCAAAATTCTCAATAAAATAAAGCCCAATAACACTTAATATTTATGGAATTACTCACTGTATTGTGTCGAACCGTTCACCGCATGAGACCATACGTACAGCAATTGTATTTTGAACAGTTTCGTTAGATCTAATCGCACAATCGAAGCAAATAGTCGCTTTTCAATAAATGTAAATTACTATATAAATTCATGAACGCACGTAAAAAAAAAATTAAATAAAATTAATTGAAAAAAAATCAAATAAAATAACGCAACAAGAAATACACGAGCAAACGATGTAACGTGTGTCCGACTCGAGACGGTGTGCGTGCTCACTACGCGGCGTTCGGACAGCAGCTATTACGGTGGTGCGGTAAAACCGAGCCCTTATAAACCCAAACTGGAGTCTGGACTGTCTGGAGACTGCATATATGTCTCCTCTACTCCCGTTTTAGAGACAATTCACACACACACACAAGCGTGCCCACCCCCCCAAACCGCCTATCACGCATGCGCCATGTTACTCTTTATTTTTCTTTTAGCTTTTTTCCCTACTTCTCATTTAGTTTGCTCTTTTTTTATTATTTTATATTTCATTATACAATTATTATTATTGTCACTGCATTGTACCGTAATAAAAAAAAAAAATAGGTAGGTACGAAGGGTAAATATTATTCCTTGACCCCTATCGTGATTGAATTAGTATTTTTTAATTGAATTTAAAGCATGTAGAATACTGGGTATAATATCGTACATATGATAATGCTTTACTGACTTTTTGTTGTCACGTATATAAGTACTCGCCAATTTCTTTCTCACTCCGTCTCCGTCTCTCTCTTCACATATTAAACGTACACAGATATACAAACACACACATATATGTATAATATAATATGTATGTATGTTTTTTTCCGCACTACGCACGATATTGGTGCAGAATCCGCAATGAGTAACGTGTGTGGCGCCTGAGTTGCATGGGAATTTTAACTCCTTCTCTTTCCAATACGTTATTCCCCTGCCGCCCACATCCGCAACAATATACGCGGTGCAACCCCCTCCCCCCCTCCCGCGAACGATAAATCTCTAATTAACAGCTTGCTGAAACTTTACCTAATAATCGTCTTCGAAACAATTATTATATTGTGGTCTGTAACGGTGCCTGTGCACACGATGATAATATTGAAGGCGATGGAAGGACGGAGATAGATCACGGGACAAGGCGAAGTGAAGAGGGGGGAGGGGTGAGGGAAGGGAACAAAACGCATGTGCAAAAAAATTATGATGATTAGGTTAACGCAACGTCGTCGTTTGTCTGCAAGTATAATATATGTATAAGTCGATGTATATATGTGTGTGTAGTGTATGTGTAATACAATACGTTGAATGTCGAACACATTGTTACTTACGGGAAACGCGCTTATTATTGATATTATTATTATTATTATATGTTAGAAGAATCTTAATAGTCTAGCCGGAAGCTATTTCGCACGATTTTTTATGTTTTCCCCTTACTCGGATCATCACCGGCCGCGTGTTTCATATTTTCTCATCTTCCACTGCCTCGGTAGACATCACGCACCCTCGTCGACAATGTCCAGCAAATTCCATTTAATTTTATAGTCGAGTTGCACAACTATAATTTATTTGTACACGGAAAAAAATACATAGTTGGTCCAACTAAAATTGTGGTTAATATAGGGACATAATAAATGTCTAATCGTTGGAGTTACTAAGTATATTGTTGGCTTAACTAAACATTTAGCTCGGCTATACTATTCGGCTAACTATTTCTAGTTTCTATTTATTCCAAATAGACATTTATTGCGTCCCTACACATATTAACAATAATTTTAGTTGGACCAACTATGTATTTTTGTTCTGTGTAAACATAATGTATATTATGCACCTGGACACCTTTTCCCGTCATCGGGTAGAATACAACTGCGGCCTGAGTCTTAATTCGACACTGACCGTGGAGTCAGAGTTTGTTTCATATTTCGTGTGTGTATTTTTTTTTTCGTTAGACACGCAGCCGCCCATTTAAAATCCGGTCTTTAAAATTTTACCAAACAGGTTCGTTTGTTCAGTTCGTAAATGGTCTTTTAAAATATTAACGGAATATTAATTATGTCCTATTAGCTGATGGTAACTATTAATATCGATTTCTTTTTATTATATAAAATCTTTTGCAAAAAATATAATCCGTTTTTTTAAACGGCGAAAACTGACTACTGTGTTAGAGCATCGCATAAATGATATGAACATTTAAAGTGAAACTCAAAAGAATAGTCTAATTATTCTTACTATTATATACATTATCCTCGTTAATAATTTGGATTTTTCAAATGCTTTATTCTTTCTTTATTTCACACCGTCATCGTCTTTCCGTTATAAGAATTATTCTTCTATCATCAGCTGTCTCATAGCTTATGCAGACCATTATCATTGACCTCTCTTTTTACACATTGCCAAGTCTGATTTATTTCTAGAAACTTGTTCAATTTCTATGACATTCATGTTTTGATGTATAATATTTTTGCTTGAAATCAAGTATATGTAAAGTTTATGTAACACTGCAAGGTCCTAACAATAATATTATATTATATTATAAATATAGCATAATAATATTATAATGGATATTTTTTGCAAATAGAAAATATAATACGATAATAATGAGCTATTTAAAATACATTTTTATTTAGTGAATATCAAACAAATTTTTTTTTTTAATAAAAATGTTTTCGATTTTATTATTTAAATAATAAATTATTTACAGTTAAAATTGAAAATTTATTAAAAATTTGTTTTTGTAACTTATAGTAAACCTTAAATTTTTAGAATATACTCTGTTCTTATTCTGAACAGAGTATAGATTTATTATTTTACAACATATTATTCAAGATTTATAATTCTTTCGGATTACTACCACAAGTAGAAAATAATTATAGTAGAAGATAATTACAGTATCTCTCTCTTTTCCACAAAAAAAAAATCCTACTTCTCTGCATTTACGTTAAATAATGTATTTTGTTGTGTACGTCCGGGTTAGTGTGTATTTCGAGGTATATTCATTTTATATCTTAAATCTGAAAAATTCTTATTAATAATATACATTACTATACAGTATACAGTTTAAAATATGAATCGGTCGAGTACCTAAACATTGTTTGTAGACGTTCTATAGCCAATCCTCTATGAAACTATACAGCATTCAATTCAAAATCAGTTTTAAAATTTCATAAAATAAGAGTAGTATTTTATTGTATTATTTATTTAAGATTTTAAATATCTTTAGAAGTTGAAGCATTTTAAATAAGATTTAAGGTTTCGGTCAATCATATAAACATTATGTACCTATTACAAAAAAATGAGTCATTATTAGGTCAAGTATGTACGCAACATTATAAATACATTTTTAATTAATTTAAGACACTGATTGGGATTTGGGTATGTTTAGGGTGACCACTGGAGGTGAAATAATAAAATTACTTTGAGAGGACACTACACTATATATTTCTAAGGAGTAAAGTATAGGCAATTTTTCACGAATCTTCATTTAGAACGTCAACTATAGTGTATACTTATTAATATAGTAATGAGGATTCTTTATTGAATGCCATTTTTTTTTTGTCAAACTATCACAGTCATTTATATTATCTATAGGATAAATTACAATTTTTCTTCATCAAAACTGCTTTGCGTGGGACAAGTATGCGAGACCAATATTAACAGTAGATTAAGTGATTTAAACTGATAAACTAAATTTTCATAATGTATAGAGAAGAACTTTATCTAAGCCGTAGCATTTTTTTTTTTTTTGGTGTCTACACTTTTTTTTTATAAGCAAATGAAAAAATGAAAAAAATAATTTATCTTTGCGAATGAATAATTTTGACTGTGTTTAAGTTATCAAAAAACTAAAAATTCTACGGCGTAGATAATTTTCTTCTCTATCCGTTGTAAAAGTTGTATACGGTTACTATAAATATCACCTTCACATACTTGTCCTCCAAAAATACATTTTTTGTGGATAAATTACGTGTTTAGAATCCTCTTAAAAAAAACACTTTCTTGCAAATCTGCATTGGATAGCGTAAAACCAATTACGTTTATGATATTCATTATTTGTTTTATAGTTATAATGCATATTTATAGGTTTATATTTCGAGGAATCTGTAAAGAGCTAAAACGAAAAATTGACGGGGGTACTATTTCGTTTGTATAATATATTTGAACCATTTAAGTGGAATGTAATGAGTACTACGTCTGCTGTCTGAAATGTGGCTAGACGAATCGATTTACTTGTATTATACTAGTGAAACACAAGCGACTAGAAAATAAATTGTGTTCTGCAAGTTTCGTACACACGTAAGGATGTTTGCATGTCTAACGTGCAGGAGGTATACCTACCAGACAGATTACTCAATAATTTCACTGTCTACGACGTATTAAAAAACTCGTCGAGTCATAACCTCTAGCACTATAGTTCTATTATTTTCAATGTATTTTAAACGCTGAAACCGTTATGAATAAAGTACACGGGTTCGTTTTAATTTTTACTATTTTTGTCTACACGGTTTTCTGTGGTCTTTGCACATAAAATATAATTATTACTATTCACACACCTATTGTACTTACACGTCGACTACCTGCGTGCGTTGTACGTTTTCGATTTTATTCCAATTCATAATAATTTGGTAGTATACATTGTACCTACCTTTATAGTATATGAATATTATGACCCTTCACGCAACAGTTTGAACTTATGAATATTTTCTAAATTTTTTTTGTTGATGTTTGATGTAGATAATAATTTATTATTATTATATTTATAAATAGAATATTTTTTTTGAAAATAATTCACATATAGTAATAAGTAATAACTTTTAACTATATAATATTGGTAAAAATATAAATGTATAAACAATTTGTTATTATTTACATTTATTGTAAAATATATTACTATAAAGTATTAATATTACTGTGGGAGCGACGCGACAGAGAAAAATAAAAGGTTTCAAGAGTCTGCTGATTTAGTTTTTTAATAGCACCTTGTAATGATCGTGGCACGTGTAGGGTACCTAATTATTCCTAATCTTATTAGTTACGAAAATTATGTATTTGTTTAAACCAGGTCTTACTAGCATTTAGTAATTAAGTTTTTCAGTCCTGTCAATATTTGTTGGTAACAACAGCAAAGAAAATACGCAGATTGTGTTCAACTAATTAATATATAATTATACAACACTTAAACAAAAATAAGTAGTTGTTCAATTCTATTGGAGCTAACTTGTGTGTATAACCATTTACCATTATTGGCTTTACTATTGAACCAAATTAAATAAACTTAACAAAGAAATTATCCAAGTAGACTATTTCAAAT